GTATCGATCTCTCTCGCCAACATCCCAATGCTCCAACTGGACCGCATGCTTATGCCCGTGCACTCACAAGGTATTTGCAACAACGCCAGATTATTAAAGAGCTCGAAAGGATGCACGACGCTCACATCGTCTTGCCATTGCTGTCGTCGGACGGACCAGTCGTTTGACCAACTTTGCGATAGGTGAAAACATATTTCTCTTTTGCAAAGCATTCATACCTTACTTCCAGGATCCCCATTTTTCCCCTTTATGCGATTGTTTGGCAAGTTGTTTGCCATGCTATTTGCTCACAGCAAGCAAAGAGTTTTGATGAATCAAATGTTGGAGCCAAATGGCAAGAAGAATCAATTTGAGTTGCTTCTTGCTTTTTGGATCTGTTGTTTTCCACACTTGTGCAGCCGAGTTACAATCTATACAGATGTGCCATGTATCAGCAATGTTATCACTGGGCAATTTTGATCTGTCCTCTCAACTTTAAAGCTTCCTATTTATGGGCAACAACAGAACAAGAGAGTGGAATTGCAGCCTGGTGTCATCCAGACACCCAAGCAAACCAAGCCCAAACACTTGCTCTTGCAACTATGCATCAATGAACTATGGTTACAATGCAACTGTACCCGTCTATTTGCTATCCAATATTTTACCTTGTTAGATACACATGTTCCTATTCTAGTAAAGGATGCGCAAGCAGTGCTGGGAGCCATATAAAACCTCTTTGCCCGTCTAGGTCACGAGCCTGTTTCCCCCCTTTTTTCTACTTCAGATCATGGTCAATATTATCAGATTGATCACGGCTTTTTCCGAAAGCAAATTTTCATCAAGCTGTCCTCAGCTTGTCCTTTCACTATATCAAACACATTCTCTCTAACATTCTCAAATCATCGTTCCTCAGGCAGATTTCGTTTTTGAGCAGTTTTGCTGTTAAACTTGGAGAATCTCATCCTTCCTTATATCACTTTACCTCTGCTAGCAATTGGATTCTGCTCCCAAACCCGAGGAATCAAGGGCAACCTCGTTCTCAAGACCACAGGAGAAAACCCATATCTCCGCGCAACCAGCCAAACTTCTCCGTCCTTTCTTCAACCCCCCTTCGGTCTCGGAAAGCCATGTGCCTTTACCACCGCATCTTCTACACCTGCAACCACTCCAACTACACCCTAGCCTACAACTGCTACCACGTCCTCTTCCAACTCCAGCGGATAAACAACCCCTGGGAACGCAGCCGGTTCGACATCCCCTTCGAGCTCAACCCCAACTGCAATCCGTCGCAAAGAAACGTCATTGCTCCGCGTTATTCAGAGCACCCGTGCGATGTCTGTGTCCAGAGGGATCAAGAGAGAATGTTCTTCGAGGGCGCGAATTGTTTTTTTGTAGGGACGGGGGGTAGGACGTGAATCTTTCCCCTGTCCCATGTCTGCCCTTTATTACTATGGCCTTCTCATCTTCTTGGATATGGGTTGTAGGAAAGCAGAGAGATGGATTGATTCATAGATGCGGCGTTGTCTTTGACAGGGATCGTTCAGCACAGCTTTGGACTAAAAAAGGAGGTTGAACCAGTCAGTTGGCAAAAAGTTTATGCTATGTGGGGTGGTGGCCGAATTCGTCATCTGTCATCTGGCTGAAGCTATCGAACGTCAGCCATGAGTGCCTTTCCAGTCTGAGGCGGGGTTCGGCGTCTTCATGGGAGGGTTTGGATTCTGGCATTAACAGGCAGCATAGAACATTAGAAGCCCTTAAATAGACGGAAATGGTGTTTTAAGCGAACACAATGTCCTAAACGAAAAGGGAATACCGTTGATATTAAATTCATATTCTATCTCCCTAGAATGTTGGTTATGTATCAGAACTAAGAATCCACATTCCCAAAGGAAAAGTTGTTGGAACCATGCATGAACGCCCCGCGCTTCGCTCGGGTAGGATATAATACCGGAAAAGATGTAACGAAAGAAAAGACTTTAACTCTCATAGTATACTTCTATGAGATATTCTGAGCGCAACGGAAGGAATAAACATACAAAAAGAAAAATTAACTAGGGCGTATTTAATGCTTCGCTCCGCATCCACATCCTCCATCAGCAATAGGATCGATCGTCTCGCCTCTCTTACCAAGACTACGCTTCTTAAAGTCACCGTGATAAGTATCAAGTTCGTCGACGACAACTTCATCGGCGAGCGGTTCACCCATCCAAGCGTATCTTTCGCTGGCGGCATGCGGCTTAGTCTCCGTATCTCGGAGTTTTCTGGTAATTTCGCCTAGATCCAAGTCTAGATACTTGGCCAAGAATTGGCCAACTTCGATGTTTTCGTGGTTTCCAACAAGGTCCAGGACATCATGTGGAGAAGAAGCATAAATGTTCACGTCGGCAGCTATCGCAAATGTTGTCGCATTAGATGGATGCTTTGGAAGAACACCAAAGAGAATGTACTGCGGGATGAAGTGACTTACCGGAATGACCATGGGTTGCCCACCCTATCTGTGCTCTTCGACTGATGATATCAGCAAAAACGTAAGCCGCAGGTACTTGGTCCCCGGGGTTGATAAGTCGGTCAATCTCGCTATCTTGGGCATCGAATATTCCCAGCCCTTTTTCAAGGAACTCACGACGGATATAGGCCCGTTTCTTATCCGCAGAGGCGGAATTTCCCTCATTGTCAAGATAATCATGTAGCTTGGCTTCTAGGTGTTCGGATGAATGGCTGGCATTGGCAAGGACGCCTGGGAACCATTTATAATCAGGATAAGACTCATGGAGCTGTCGAGCTGCGGCTAAACCTCCGGTTTCATGGTCTGATGTGCTGACAAGAACACCAGGCGTCGAATCATTTTCCAGAAACTCTAGCACGGCGGCAAAGGCTCTGTCATAAGCTAGAACTTCGTGGACCTGAGCAGCAGGATCGTTGCCATGGCCAGCATGGTCAATGCGGGAGCCCTCAATCATGATGAAGAAACCTTTGTCACTGTTGCGTGTAGCATCACTTAACGCTTTCAAGGCGGTGCGAGCCATTTCTTCTAAGGAAGGGTATACATCATTCTCAAATCGGCGGTCAATCTCAAATGGAATGTCCTTTTCAGCAACGAGGCCTAGTAATGGCAGCTGAGCGGCACTGCCCAGCTTGAGTTCATCAAACCCATCACGATTGTCAATGTAAGAGAAACCTTTCGATTTTGCTAGCTGCACGATGTCCTTATCATCACCACGGCAGCTGCCGGACGTGGAATTAGGTAGGAAATGACACCTCCCTCCTCCAAGGATCAGGTCGACTTGACGGCCCAGAGGGTATTCGCCAACCTGATGTTCGGCAATTAGATCCTCATACGAACGCATATTGACATGGGAGGAAAAGCATGCGGGGGTGGCATCCGTAATTCTTGTTGTAACCACCAAGCCTGTCATATATCCAGCAGCCTTTGCGGCTTCTAGGACGGTCCCGCATGGGCTATGGTCTGGCAATACAGAAATGGCACCATTATAGCTCTTTTTCCCGCAAGAAAACGCCGTTGCGCCCGCCGCGGAGTCTGTAATCAAGCTAGAGGATGATCTTGTTCGGGATTGTCCAATGTGATGCTTATCCAACACAAGAATATCATCGATTGGAAGGTCTTTCTGGAATTGTCGGAAGCTTCGTGTCATCGATAAGCTTGTGGGGCCCATTCCATCGGATACCATGAATACCAAGTTGCGTTTCCCTTCAGGTTTCTCGCCAGGCGCCCATCTTCCTTCACGCCTACCGGTTGACTGTCCATGCTGGTAAACGACGGCTAAGACGATGACCGCAGCGGTTGCAATTAATGCCCACGAGAACAATCCAACCTCGCGCCAGAATGTTGCTCCCCGGCGACTCTCACTGCGACGAGTTCGCTCTCCTGTTAAAAGGGCATCTTCTTCGGCGTCACTTCGTTCCGGTGAGTGGTCGGAGGAAGGGCGTTGGACAAGCAAGGGGTCGTTTCGAGACATGATGACGACACGGCTTCAAGTGAAATCGAGAGCCTAGACTCTGTGACAGCGCCCCAGCGGGACTTTATTATGATAAACGAGAGGCACTAGGTCACCACATAGTAAGGGAGGCGTGAGATTGAATCGAGAGACTGGAAAGACTGACGTTGTGCTGAGGACCGAGACGTTGGAACTGAAAGCAGCTTAAAGTTGCGCCGTTTTGCTCGCAAGTCACTCGCGCCAAGCCGTGGCTGATCACTTGATAACACCAATTGATCTGATTATCACATTTCACCCTCTGAAGAAAAGAAGCGGAATTATTTAGGTATTCCTTTATAAAATACATTCCAGCTCAACAATGCAGCGCTCGCTTAGTACTACCTGTAAATGATACATGTACAATCATTCCGCCATTGGCAACCTCCGTCCTCTCAAAGACGAGTCCATCCTACAGGTATCAACGCCGCAGCAACCTCCCGGACGCCTCTTTCCGTAGCAAGAAGATTGAATTGTGCCGCCGCATTCCTTGTATCCTGGATTTCAACCCGTATCCCAAGTTGACTGATATGATTCCTTGTTTTGGGCGATATGGGACGTATAGTTGCACCGAGACCGAGAATAAGTAAATCTGCAGAAGAAAATATCAAGCAAAAATCAGCACGACGGACAAGGAAGGCATCGTATCTATTTTTCACCCGCAAGCACACTTTGACATGACGGTATTCGACTTACCCGGTTTCGGCCACACCAAGCTCAGAACACCCCAAGCTTCCTCTGGAACCTCCCATTGGCCATGCTTGTTCACCATCATTGCCTTTGCGCCATATCCGGCTGCGTCCCACGGCCTCCACGTAAACGCCTCGCCGTCAACCAACAAACAGCCACTTCCACCGGTGATTTTGACGCCATTGTTCAAATGAAATCCGTCTTTTAGGCAAGCATCAATCGCTGTAGACGGCGTTGCAACATTCGACAAAACGTCCAGTGCACCAAGATCCGTACGCGTGCCAGTGTCAGTCCGCGGGTCTTCGGGCGGTGGAGGTCCACGATAGCGGGACTTTGGCTTCAAATCCGCGGTAGTGAACTCTGAACGGCCGTATGGCGGTGGGGGCGGCAGCCGAAACGGTTTCGTCTCACCGTTGTTATTTTTCGAGGAATGCGTCGCCGCCGTAGAGGTTATCGTGCGAGAAAAGCGAGCGGTGGCATTTTGGGAGATGGGGCATTGACGGAACGGCGCGTGCCGCGAAATCGCTCTCCCCGACGAGGAAATGGAGGCCCTCATCACTCGAAGAAGTTGAGTGGACGGAGAATGCATGATCCTGATGCGAGACAAGATAACTCCGTGCGATTGTGTCGAAATGATCGAGTGGTCCCTGATGCCTCTGATTCGATGGAGCGGCAAAATAACCGTGTGAGAACCGGGGTAAATTAAAAATTATGCGTGGCGTGGTGGTCAGCGCGCAATTGACTGCACTTTCGCCGTCTTGCGGTGCATAAAGAAAGTCAAGGCCCTGTTCTCAGATGGTGGGACGTTGCATGGGGATCGGACGGCGTTCTGACGGTTGAAATCCAAGCCTTGATGTCTTGGCGCGCCTTGTTCCGCTCCGCCTTGCTTGGCGTGGCGGTCGAGGTGTGTGGCGGCGTCGCGAGTGGAATGTCGCAGTTTCTGGCTTGTTTGGATGAAAGTCGAGGGGACAAGCACATATGGAATACCTAAATGATGCATTTTGTTCGCTAGCTAACTCTAACAACTGTGAATTCTAGAATTCTAATGCCCTCAGCCATTCCCCCCCGGAAACATGTAAAGGGAAAATAATGAAATTAATATTAAACTGTCCCGCCCAGAGAAGGAAAAATAACTTTAGGGGCCAGAACGCATCAGGATATAGTAAAAGACATATCGAATTAAAAGGATACCTCATAACTTCATTCCAGTGCTTTTAAAAGGCTTTCCGTAACGAAAGAAAGAAAATGAAAAGTAACCTCGACGCCTCCGATGATGACCCTTGGTAAATGCCAGGACGTAATCTGCATTCAGCATGGAGTAGAAATCGTCCCTCACCACATCGCTTGTCTCACCTTTGCCTTGCTCCACATCCCGCTGAACTAGTGTGTTAATCGCCAAATAAATCAAAGTATTCACTGGCTTTGAACTTTTGCATCGGAGATTTTAGACGATCGTTGACCCAGAGACGGCCGAATTGGTTTAGGGTCAGTAGTCTCGTCACCATTGGGGTGGTCCTCGTCCGATTGGCTTGAGCTATCATCGCCTCCAGCTGCGGTCGACGCAGTTCGAAGACGCTCTGCACGAACTTGTAGCACTTGAGCCTCTGCTGCTGCGCGTTGAGCTCGGATTTGCTTTCGCCACATGCTGGCATATCGACCCCTCATCGACAGTAATTGCTCATGCGTTCCCTTTTCAATAACTTGCCCGTTATGAAGCACAAGAATCTGATCTGCTGTAGTTATAGTGCTTAAACGGTGAGCGATGACAAGCATTGTGCGGCCCTTAGATAGAGTTGATAGCGCCCCCTGGATATGTTCTTCTGTGTCAGTATCAAGTGCGGCTGTAGCTTCGTCGAGCAAAATGATTCGTGGATCTTTCAAGATAGTGCGCGCAATAGCCACTCGCTGTTTTTCACCGCCACTCAATCGAAGGCCACGTTCCCCAACCTTTGTCTCATACCCGTCTGGGAATGTAAGAATCCTATCGTGGATGCTAGCAGCACGACATGCAGCATACACATCCTCGTCAGTAGCCAGGGGGTTTGCATACTTCAGATTGTACATCAACGTTTCGTTAAAAAGAACGGTGTCCTGAGGCACCACGCCAATATGGCTCCGGAGCGAATCGATAGTAATGGTGTCCACGGGGCGATCGTCGATTAAGATATTGCCTGAGGTAGCATTATAGAAGCGGAAGAGAAGACGGAACACTGTCGACTTGCCACCGCCAGACTCTCCTACAAGTGCTGTAGTAGTCCCTGGCTGACAATGGAAAGTCAACCCAGTCAATGCTGGCTTACGGGAATCATAGGCAAATTTAACATTGTCAAATTTGATATCACCCGAGCAACTGGCCACTTTGGATGCCGAAGGACCGTCAACAACGGTTGGTTGTTCTCTAAAGAGTTCAAGCATTCGCTCTGAGTTGATTAGGGCTGATTGGATGGACCGGTAGAACGTGCCAAAGAAATTCAATGGTCCTTGAAGTTGAGCCATGTATGTCAAAAGAGCAACAAACTGGCCGACTTCCCTTTCACCTGAGGCCACTTGAAATGCAGCAATAAAGCATGTTACCATCAGGCCCAGCATGAACACAGTGTTTTGGGTGGTGTTCAGCAATGTGAGTGAAAATAAGACTTCATACTCTGCTCTCTGGAAGTCTGTCACGGCACCGCGGTAACGGTTGAACTCATACTGCTCGGCGTTGAAATATTTCACTGTTTCATACGAGACCATGGAATCATTCCTGTAAACGGAAAGATCACACGTTAAAATTACTAGTTTCCATCGACAACTGCACATGGGGATTGCACTTACTTAACTGCATCTTCTTGTCTGTTGGCGTTGACCATCTGTCGTCGCATCTCAGCCCTCCATTGTGCCATGCGCACCGTCACATAAAGATAGATGAACGTGACTAGAGTCACCACCAGGGCATAATACACGTCGAAAGCGATTCCAAAATATGCAACGGCAACGCACAGGTCAACCAGCATAGGCAATACCTGGAATGTCACTTGCTCCAGGAACGTGTTGATTGAATTTCCTTTGTTCAAGGCTGAGATTACTTCACCAGTTTTCTTTCCGAGGTGAAAGTCCAAGCTAAGGCCATGCACATGCTCAAATGCTGCTGTTGAAAGCTCCATATATGAATACTGACTGACCGGGATCCAGAGAAATGACCGCAACGAGCCGATTAAGCCCTGATTTCCCTGCAGCCAGCGATAGAAGACATATAGGCAAATCCCTCCCCAAGGAATATAAAACGCTTCCGAGTCATCGCCAGATTTAGAGAGAGCGTTGATGATGATACCAATTTGGTGTGGCACTAGGACATTGACTACCCGTTGCGAAACCACGAGGGTGAAACAAAAAATCACAGTCAGCTGCAACCGGCGGGACTTTGATGGCCAGAGATATGGGAAGAAAATGGAATATCCACTGAGATACTCCCACCAGCTAGTTGAAGGAACAGATGCAGGTCGAACCCAAGCAGCCTCTGTTTCAGGGGGCTTGGTGGCATGGGGTTTAGAATTCTGGTGTGATGATCCATAACCATTGCCGTTCATGCCATTGTTAAGACCCGTTCCGGAACTTAACAACCTTGTTGTTTCTGTTGAGTCACCCTCCCCGTTCCTATTTGCCATCCATCCGACTGAGCAAAACGTATACAGGAGGACAATGCCTACCAAATCCAGAAGGCGAACAATAGCGATGCTAACTTCGGTCAATTCCCAGCCGGTGATATTTTTCCTGTAAAGGCCCCCACGTGGATCCCCGATAGCGGGTTCATGGTGCGGTCTTGTATAGAGAGTGAGGCGGGCTGCCAGGATTACTACTTCCAGGGGGACCGCTAGCACCCACGGATACAGCTGTGCAAAGGTCGGAGACGGCGATGTATCTACCAGGGATACCAACACAATGGTCCACGTGAAGAAGGAACCAACGATATAGATCTAGTAACGAGGTTAACAGCTTGATAGTGAGTGCTAGGCGGACTCGATTAGGTCCAACATACCACAACGGACTGCCCTGCCCACCAATGCTCTTGACGGAATAAAATCACATGCATCATGGTTAGGGCCGCATCGCCGAGAAATGTCAATAATATACCGATCGACAGCCATTTGAAAGCCAATTTCGTGATATGTGAGAACTCGGGAGCCAACCGGGTGGTGATAACAGCCGCGCTCCGCATTCGTTTAGGAAGAGGTCTGCCACCGGGCCCTGTTGTTACCGTTGCATTGGATTTGATGTTTTTGGCAGATATAATCGAGTTCGCTACAAACGCAATGGCGAAGACGGCGAGGATGATTATGGGTGAAGCTATCTGCATTAATTCGCAAATCTCTCTGATGGGTTCTGCATTGTCGATCTCAGCCCGCAGGCCACTGATGCCAACGGTGGACTCCATGTCCCTGTCGAGCCCAGTATTCCTTTTCTTCAAACGCTATTTCAATTGGGCCGTTTCCATGGCACGAGCTGGCGTGGTTGGAAATCAATGAAAAGCCCGAAACAAGCAAACGACAGTTATCGACCTGAAGAATTGACACAGGGAATGACAGGAACCGAAAGGCGGTGTCAAGAGCACATGAACGCAATGCCCGAAATGCGTATATCGCTTGGAACGAGCGCGAGTGAAGGGGACCAGGAGCTGCAGGTCGAGAGATGCAAGGAGACGGACCCTGGAGTAGAAAAGCGAGAGGAAATGCTGGAGAGGAAAGGTGAAGGTTAGAAAGCTGACGGGAAGAGCAGAGGTGTGAGGTTATCAGGATCAGGGCCAGGGTCGGTTCAAAAACAAGAAGTGAAGTTCTCCATGTCCAGGATTCACGGAAAGCGCGAAGAAAAGGGCGGGGAGGTAGTTACCCAACGTCACAGAGGTGACAACAGTTGCGGGATGGTAGTACAGCAAGAGAGCACAAAGGTGAAGTCCACGGCAGACAGGCGAGACAGAAGAAGAAGACGTGGATGAAGGAAGTGAGTGGCGTCTCGAGGTTGGAGAGTGATGTTTTTAAAAACAGCTCCAACTCAATCTTGGTCTTCTGACTGGCGCGGAGAGATCCCAGAAAAGTCAAATATGGATCACCAGTTGAGCAATGGAGCAGTTGGTGGCAAAGGTGAAGGGACCTTTCTTCACATCAATTGCTGACGGGAAGCCAGGGCTTTTACTGAAAATCAAGAATCCACCAATTCACAGATGCTGAAACCAGATTCCTCATGCCTTCTCCCAATTAAATCCACCCACACCAGCCTACGCAGCGATGATGTTTTTTTGGTTTTTTGTTCTGGGCGGTGAGTCTTGCATTGGAACCAGCTCTGCTCCTCGTAGCTTCCCTGGGCGGTGAAGCAACCTTTGGCCACTGGCAGAATTTCGGCGGGTTAGATGCACGGCTGCACAGGGCTCACATCCTTAATGTGGGAGCGGAAGTACAAGGTACCTTGTTCACATGCCCACAGCACATGCCCGCAGCTTGTACCCGGTACCCAGCTGCCATTTTGTCAGGGGGGGCCGAAATCTAACATAAAAAGCAAAAAAAAATGTATGTGTCGGCATGCATATGGTCTGGACCTGGGGAAGAAGAATGCGACTGTTACAGGGATTGACAGCAAATATCCCATCCTGGCCCACGCTTGCCCTGTTATATGGAATCAGGCACGCACCAGCAAATGCACGGCCTTTGAAAGCTTTTTGGGAGAGATGCTTATGTCAACCCAATTGTGCTTGGCTCGCAACGACATCTGAGCTGTGCAATTGCTCTTTTTGGAGCTGTGGTCTGTGTCATCCGTCCGGCACGGCAGGCATAAGACTATGCCAGGTCTCAGAGTCAGACTTGTTGCGGGTTTGTCGACCGCTCGGTCTCGAGCGCAATTACTCCTTCCATCGAGGAATCGTGCGCTTCCCGCCTGACTGCAGGGACATGATTCTTGCGATTGGTGGTTCTTGCAACAGGAATCTGGGCAAACCAACAAAACGCACCCAGAGCACTCCCACATGGAGGTAACCTATGCGGATTTGAGGATGACACGTCAGGCAGATCGATTTCTCTACATCATTGCCCCTATGATATCACTCGAAATCGGCGTGCAGAAAATTGTGCATCGATAACCGCTTCGTGAAGACCTCATTTTTCGAGGGTTCTAGCGCGTCTACCGTGGCTTCTAGCATTTTAAGACAAGGATATTAACCGAACAATATTGAGGTCTTGAAATTAGGTCACAGATGCGACATTCTTGTCGACCTCAGAATACGAGTTGATCTGCACACTCGTGTGGAGGAGTTTGGGGTTTCGTTGGGAAGCTTCACGGAACGGTCTCAAGTCCTCAGCAATATAATCAAAAAGTAATCGTAAAAGGGGAAGTATAACAATGCGGGACAACTGCTTGATACCCTTGCCAATCTCCACTCGAAATCCATTGGTACGGGCTTAGTATCCCTCATTTGGCATCTTCAAATTACAAGGGATGTTGAGAAGAGCAGTTGAGACTGAAGGTCTTGGTGCGCACGATTGACTCAAAAGGAGATCTAGAGATCTAGTCCAAATCTAGACAATATAGATCGATGAGACTCTTGAACCGAGATTTGATGATTTCGTGTCAGAGTACAGCGTACAGGATCTCTGACTTGCTTTCCTGTCAGCTCCGAAGAACGTGGGTGGTTGCGCATCACAACCATGGCTATATTTGATGCGAGCAACGAGTCTCCAAGCTCCACAATTATAGTTACATACGGAGGACAGACATCCAAATCGGTGCAGCTATCATCCCGCTGCGAATCAGAGCAGCTCTGCCAACCCGGGGGCCTGAAGAACTGGCATATTAAAATTTCCTCCCGTATTCCAGTCGGAGAGCCTGCATCGTCACTCAAAACATTCTGTCGGATGAAGAACTGACCCCATAGCATTGTCAAACGAAGCGCAGGGTCGAGAGTCAGCACTGGATGAGCTCTAGATGCCACAGAACCAGCCAGTAGCCGCTCCCTGGGACAACCTCCACTCGAGTGTCTCAGTGCCGGTTCACGAATCACCAGCAGCGGCCAGACAGCAAGATCACATGGATGGCTGCTTCCCCAGCGCCAAGCGTCGCTAGCGGAACTCTAAAGTGACACTGCGGGAACTAATCACATCTCACCACTTCGCAGCTGCTGCAACTGACGAGAAACAATCTCAACATGGAACACAGGTGCGCGTGATGCTGAGCACTGCTTCATCCTGATGACAAGCTGTGTCTCCATCGATGCAGCTGGAGGGGGAATGGATCATCGGTTATCGCCAGCCGCCTCGCCACCAGAGAACCTGAGATCATGGCAGATTCTACCCGCAATCAAGCTCCTCCCCCTGCACCCCCACTGCCTCCTGCTCCCCCTCCTCTACCGCCGCAGAGATATGCGACTAAAGCAACAAGCGCCTTTGTGCGATTTGCGCACCCTTTTTTCTACGGATCACGGCCGCCAAGTCCACAGCAGAGCTCACCGCGGGTTGCTATCCCTATCACGCCCGATGTGAAGCATGCGTCTTCCACGTCAGTTTTTATCAATCATGCTCTCTCGTGGATTGGGCTATTACTCTGGTATGAGAAAGTAACCATTGCTGACTTTGTGTTTGCTTTCATAGGGCTGGAGCTTCGCCGATAATATCCCACAAAACCGGAATTCCGATCGCTGCTCTCGACGTATCCCCTCAACGCACCCACGCCATCCTTGCCGGCCGAGAAATCTTGAAAACTATTAGGGTCACGCCTGACCATTGCTCTGAAGAAGTCAATATTCGTTCTGCTATTATTGGATATTGTGCGACTCATAATGCTTCACCGGCGGCACTATCGTCTAAATACAAGGATCAATTGGCCGCAAAGGACGTTAAGTGGTCTAATGGGGAATACGATCAAATTATTGCAACTGCCGCTACCAATGGACGAATTTCTGTCTTTGATTTGAACCGTGCAAGTGTGGAATTGGGCCGGTTCCAGGAGCACACGCGCCAGGTTCACAGGCTGGCATTCAATCCTCATAGGGGAGCATGGCTTCTATCGGGGAGCCAGGATGCAACAATCCGGATGTGGGACCTTCGTGCGTTATCGGGAGGAAGAGGAGTTATGAACTTTGGGAGCAAACACCGCTTCAATGGACATAGTGAAGCGGTTCGTGATGTCCGGTGGTCGCCTGCTGATGGGGTCGAATTCGCCACAGCTACTGATAGCGGTGCCATCCAACGCTGGGACGTACGCAAAGAGAACGCGCCCTTGATGAAAATAAATGCCCATGAAAAGGCTTGCTCGGTGATCGACTGGCACCCAGACGGAAAGCATTTGGTTAGCGGCAGCGCAGATCGCCTCATCAAAGTCTGGGATTTTTCATCCACTGACCGGAGACAGAAACCGTGCTTTCAGCTTCGGACACCGCAATCCATATCAAATGTCCGATGGCGTCCTGCTTCGTGGGCAGGAAACGATACGGACACCGGAGACTGGCAGTCGACCCAGATCATAACAGCCTATGACCAAGAAGATCCACGAATTCATCTGTGGGATTTCCGGCGGCCACACCTTCCATTCAAGGAGTTCGACCATTACACCCGGTCAGCAACGGACATGCTGTGGCTCTCAAGCGATATTCTATGGTCTGTTAACAGTGATGGGATATTCACCCAAGCGGACATGAGCCATGCGCCTCAGGTAATTCAACGGCGGAGGGCTTGTGCTGTAACGTGGAATCCAAATGGCGGTATCGCATTCGCCCGTCAACGGCCCAGGAGGCGCCAACCAAGTACCAGCTTTAGCCTGGCAGAATTTCTTGGGCACGATACCATTTCTGGTGCAAATGAAAAGAATGCTAGTTTTACAGATACTGCAGCAGATGACCCTCCACTAACCTCTAATCGAAAGCGATCGAACAGGATATCATATTCTCGGTTGTCCAAGTCTCTCAGCGGTACATCCTCAATTTCGGAAGAAGAATTACCGCAGATCGTCCCCCTTGAAAAGGCTGTTGCCAAAAGTGGACTATATCAACCGAGTGAAACCGGAGTAATTGGGCAGATATCCGGTGCAACGATTGATCAAGACATCTTTGCACATCTCGCCAAAAACTATTCGTCTTTAATAACGAATCATCTTAAGCAAGGAGTTAAGCCAGCGAGGGTGAAACTGTTTCTGGATACCTTTGATCATAATGCCACACAAGCCGAGCGTGTGGGTTTGCATAAGCTCGCTCAGACGTGGAGAGTCGCGAAATATGCTGTTTCCATGGAACTTATTTCTCGCGCGAGGGAACAGAAAGATGGCTGCAATGTTGATTCCAACAAGCCACTTTCCCAGACGGATGGACAAATTGGCGAAAAGAGGCGTATAACCAAGGAGACGCTGGCAGGAAAACCTGCAAGTCGGTTATTTGAAAAAGTTGCTGAAGCCAAAGCTCAAGCCCTGGTGACCCCAGAAATTGAGACAAACTCGAATATCACAACTCCGCTTGCCCAACCTATCCCTGATGTACCTGCAGGAGAGCTTGGTGGTGATAAGATCAAAAACTCACCAGGAGATGAATCCCCAAGGTTTAAACCACTGCCACCCTCGATTTTGGGTTCTGGAAAATGGTCAAACCATGCACCCACACCTGATGATAATTCGAATCGAGCGAAAGGAAAGGAACCTCGGTCGGCGAAAGATTCTCGTACTTCCCCCCGAAGCTTGTCACCTGACGGGCTACGAGAGCGTGAACTTGCCCAAAAAGATCTATTTGTTAACGGGCACCGCTCGGCACCGCGTGCAATTGCTCGTCGTGCTGATTGGAGGCTAGAGGATGATGGAGGATTTGAACGCCGCGATGAAGTAAAGGGCCCGGATTATGATCAGCCAGTGGATGAGAAAAATGCAGTTTTACTCGATTATAAACCGATTTCTAAAGGTGCACTATCGCTCGAAGCTCTGTCTCAGGGGGGCAGCAGACCACCCCAGCCAGTCAATTATGTCCGGCATGACTCTGCGGAAAGTTTTCCTATGTTCTCAGCTTCCACAGATAGCTCGCAACGGGCCAAATCTGTTGCTGATGACGCTACCTCTCCTCAAAAAAAAACGGACATCTCTAACTTAGGTGATAGCCCATGGTCTGCAGTTGGGGATAGCGTATTGCACAGCATCCCGGAACGTGAGGATACTTCTTCTCCCTGTAAAGGGAGAGAAAGAAATGGCAGCGATGCATCCTTGAGCGGAATGTCGTTCGAAATTGTTCACTCGGATCCGGATAATATACACCTTGAACGGCCACCCATTCCTCTCCCATTCTTCGCTGAGTCATCCCCCATTCGTGCCTCTGACGAGGAGAGCTTAATGGGGGATCCTTCGGACTCATTTACCGGCCAGGAAAATCACGAAACACATTCTGATCCTTATGAAGGACTCTTTAATGGAATCGTCGATTTCCCTCTTGCTGTTAAACCTGCACCCGCACCATGGAGCCCACAGTCAATGCTAAGAGAGGCAGTCAGGTATTATACTTCTGGCAGCATTGTTGATCTTGCTAGTGCCGTACACTTTTTGCACAAACTCCACATCTTATTTCGCTCGCTTGATGGCATTATTCCTTACGAGGAACGAGAGTTGATACTTAAATCATATAACGAACAGCTTTTACGCCGCAAAATGTTTGTCGAGGCTGCTGAAGTCCGCCGTCATTGTGCACCGACGTACCCCGCCGTTTACGATTATGCTTTAAAGGATGTTTTTATTAATGTTTATTGCTTTCAATGCAACAAGCCTTATGATAATCCGGTACGGGACAATAAACGGTGCCATCGTTGCAATGTCGCACAATCGCCCTGTACACTCTGTATGAGCCTCAAGCCTCCAGAAGAGTGGATTATACAAGCGTCTGCTTTGCTCAACTCCGAACCTGAACCCAAGTCTTCGTATCCGGATGCACAGCCCCCTCCTGACAATATCCCGATAAGCGCGCACTCCTCCACCCCTCCAATGCCCCATAATCAAGAGATTGGGCCTCGTTCTCGCAACACAACAGGCACACAAGGTCTTACTTTATGGTACTGGTGCCAAGGATGTGGTCACGGCGCACACTTAGCCTGCCAGATAATATGGCTTAGTGACATCTCATTTAGTGAAGGCGGCTGCGCTACTCCCGGCTGCGGGCATGACTGCGGGCCAGGCCCCATACGAGACCGAAACAATGCCTCTAGGAAGCCAGCACGAGACATGCAATCACTTCGTAGTCCAAGCGCGCCTTTTGCGAAACGTGATTCGTGGAATGCAGGGGAAAGTAAAGCGGTTGAACGCGTCAGGGGGATGTTGGGGGTTGGTGCCGCCGCCGCCGCCGGCGGATCTACTGCGTCATCGCCGGGGCCGGGTATATCTAGTAACAGTGCGTCGGCGGTGCTCTCTCCAAAGAAAGTCAGGCTAGTCACGCCGGGAGAGCAAGAAAGAAAACAGAGCAACAGCACTACTCCCAGCACCAATGCCAGAAGGGGCAGGGGGAATATTCTCAGGGGCGGCAAGAGAGGGAAAGTAGGATAGCCCTTTGCTTGGAGGACAAGCTTGGACTATTGCCTTATCCCGTGCCATCTGCGGAGTACACCATACTTCTTCCACATCCAAGGAAGGTTCCGTACCGCATTGATTCACTACATGACGAATGTCGATAGGGCAATCTTATTCATATTTGCACTCTGATCTTCTCCCATTTCATCTCCCTTCATGCCGCTTTCAAAATTCAACCATTCAATGCTTTTTCCACCAGGCGGTTTCTCTGCAGGATGCCTCGGCGCCTTATTCCCGTTTTAAGTCTGAAAGCATATAGTACGGTTTGATACGCGGAGCATTTACCTCTATTTTCCCCATTCGCCTGGACAATTGGGTCTCATTCTGCATGAGTACGCCTCTTGCTGCCTAGTGACTTGGACCTGTTTGCTTCCTGTGTTACTATTAATTCTTATATCCTGCCTTGATTTCTGCTGCGACTCTGATTACTAAACTTGAGTTGACTATTATGGTGCATATCAAAGCGTTGGGCCTAGTTGTTTGCCTTGTTGAGAGTTGTTGACGCCTGGAAGCTGGTGACACACGCACATTTTTAAGTCCTGTACAGTATCCAGACCGCGAAAGCCATGTTTCATACAGACTGCGCTGCAGTCTTTGCATATTCAAGCCCAAGATTGGGTAGCCGTACAACCAGATAGCACCTAGCTATTATTCATATGACTACTGTCGACTTCCACCTTTGCCCGATGAAGACGTCGAACATCGCGCGCTTGTGGATTAACCAACCTGACGCTAGTTATGTAACGATCAGCCTCAAAGCTGAGTTCAATGGACAAGCGATGATTTGGTGGATTAACCGATCCACTGACGGATGGGGCATAAATACAACAAACAACACTTCAAAAAATGGCAGTACATGCAAGTAATCCAAATGCTTCATAGAGCGGCAGGTAGATTCGCTAAAGGCCAAAATATTTGAGCAATGTACCGATTTGTTAGAACCGTCTTTTCTTCTTCGTAGGGCCAGCCTTCGATTCCAGTTGTCGTCTCAACTCCTCCCTCTTTCGATTTGCTCGCTCGTCTGGAGTTTCGGTCTTTGTAATAGATTCCTCTTTCTTCGGAGCAGGAGGAGCTGTTTTGATACCTGGTGTCGGGGACTTTGAGCGTTTTGGACTCTTAGCCCGACTACGTTGCACAGAAGCCTTAGTTTGCTCGCCGTCAGATGTTTCGTCAGCGGTAGGCACATCCCCCTGTGAGGTTATCGGCGGTTTGTCCTGGCCCCGGGTTGCCGTCCGTTCCCGAGATGGTTTGCCGCCGCCAATCATCCCGAGCTTGTTCTGTCGTTTGGCTGGTTTCGGAGTTGGAGCCTGAGATGCTTCAACGCGGTCATGCGTCCGTTCCTCGTCACTTACATTCGCTTGTGACGTTTGTCCTTTCTCCGTCTTTGGATCCTCCTTCTTCTGCTTCTTCTTTCCCCCTATCTGCCCAAGGCCGGATTTAGGCCGGGATTTAGCTGCCTTGTCCATCGGTTTGGGGAGGGATTTGTCGCTTTCTTCATCATCTGTTGGGCTTAGCTTTTGTCGTTTATTTGGGCGCAGCGTAAGGTCTTGATCGGCTTCTGATTCTGTTGACTCTTCTTGTATTGAAGGCTTATCGACGTCTTTACGGGCGGGTATATCTGACTCTGTCGAAGCATCGGACATCCCAGATGGCGGCTTTTTGGTATCTGGAGTTTTGATTTTTCTGCCACCAATGGCCCCAAGTCCCTTCCCCTTCGTTCGTGACCTCTTTGGTGACAACGGAGTATCAGATTCGGTAGAGTCGGCGCGAGACCCTTTTTTAGACGCTTTTGGGTTTATAGTGCCGACTATCTTTGGTCTTTTGACTTGTTCCCGCGGAGGAGGCGACTGAATTGGAGATATAGCCTCATTTTCTGAGCTTCCAGTTGACTGGTTGATCCTCCCTTTTCCAACGGATTGTGCCCTCTGCTTGTTATTATACGCAGCATCAGCAGGCCTAGAAGGCTTCTTAAGCCGTGGGGGCGTTTCACGGGTCTGACATTATTAGTTATACCCTCAAGCACCGAATCGAGTTGCATACCTCAAACTCATCATCACTTTCATTCTGATTCTGTTCCGTTGATTTAGTTAATTGTTTATTTGCAGCCTCCGTCCGCGAAGTAATAGGACTTGTGATGGCATGATCAGAGTCCCAAGTTTTAGTCCACCAGTCACCGCTAGAATTCTCTAACGCGTCCAATTTAAGCACAGAGTCGGCCGCTGCAATTTCCCTTATAATAGTCTCGTCTATGGGAGCATTCAAATTCTGCTCCTGAGATTGTAAATGCCAGGTATTTTCATCGAAGGGAGCGATGCCCTTGATCAATTTTGCTGCTTGTGAAAATGCAGATCCCTTGCGACCATGTCGCGTGCCGGTCAACGATGGGAATACCGTGTTAAGGTTAATCCCCGATGATTCTAGCTTGTCAAACAACTTTCCGAGGGCCCAATCCTTCTCCTTTAGCTTCTCAATAAGTAACTGCGTCCGGGCTTCACAGTTAGCTGCTCCTCTAATGACAGGGAGAAACACTTGTTTCGTAAACACATTTTGGGGTGATCGAGTTAGATTAATTATCCAAACAAGCGGCTCTAGAGGTGTCGGCAGCTTCGTTTCTGTGGATAGCTTCAGGTCATCCCTATTTCGATGTCCACGTAAAGAGAGTGTGGTCCCTGCTTTTCCGCTCAGGGCGTCGCTGATTTTTTGAAGTAGGACCGAATACTGGTCGTCATCTTGGCTGGGATCGATGCTTGTGTCTTGTTTAAGTGCATATGCTAAGATTTGCTTGCGACTCAGAGATTCGCTCCATACATGGGCCAGGTCCGTGAGAAAGATCTCGTAGCCTCTCGAGCCAAAAGTGTAGCTGACGTAGAGGAAGGGGCATGATTCATGACCTTCGAGCGGCAGCCTCTTCCACGTTACCGCCATGTTGAAAACCAAGAAGTATAGCTCCCAGGAAGGCCGAACTGAGAAAATACGTCAAAAAATATGAATAAAAATGATTCTGGCTTGGTGTTTTGATACTCTTATCATTTATGAGAGAAGTGAGGCTCAACATGTGGTTGGAGCCTAAAGATGGAAGCTCTGCCGAGCTCGTTTAAGTTTCCCGATCAGAACTGATTGGCGGATATCAGCAGTTGAACGATTGAGAGGCAACTCAGCATCAGCATCATCTCATCCACAAACATGTCCTCTGCCTATCGCGATTACTCTGGGTCGAAGAGGAGACGATCACAGTCCCCTTCTTGGAATCGCCCCGAAAAGATTCGCCACGTCGATCGGAACAACCCTGGAAGACCGCGTGGGGAAGAGTCGCGACAGCCATGGAGCATGAAAGAACAAACACGCTTGAACCAGCTCCAAGAAGACGAACAGATGCGGCAGTGGGTAGCACAAGAAGACGATTTTGTGCTTAGACAGGCAAAAAAGAAAGCTGAAATACGAGTTAAAGAAGGCCGCGCGAAACCCATCGACTGGCTTACAATTACCCTGCGCGTTATCGATCCCACTAGAAATCCTCTTGACGATGAAATTCCGGATTCGGACCTTGACCTGGTTAACCCGGATGGTATTTTTGAAGGACTTTCCATTTCACAGTTAGCTAGCCTCGAACAGGATATCGAGACATTTCTTAAACTTGAAACCAACGTCGAGAACCGGGAATACTGGAAGGTTCGTCAATCGATTTTGAAGTAGTGTGTCCCAGCTAACAGAAGCTCTTTTTAGACTATGAAAGTGATTTGCAGCGATCGAAGACAACGCTCAGAATCGTCTGCACCCGAAGATAGGGCAGTCAGCTCCGTTGCCGCCGATATCAATAGACTACTGAGCCCCAAATCTTACGAAGAACTAGCCGTGCTCGAGACTCAAATAAGAAAGAAGCTGAACTCAAACGAGCCTATCGACACAGATTATTGGGAGCATCTGTTGAAAAGTTTGACCGTTTGGAAGGCTCGTGCGAAGCTACGACGTGTGTACCAGGCTGTTATCAAAGGCAGGGTTGAAGAATTGCAGAAACAGCAGCGACAGGAAGCGGAAAGCGTGCAATATAAGCTTTCCCCTCTTGCGCCGTATGAAGGCACTGATACCGCAACAACAGCTCCAGAAGAAAAGGGAGCATTTCGTAGTTTAGATCCGGAGCCTCTTCTACAACTTCAATCTCAAGATAAGACGCTTGAAATACTTGACGAACAGTCATTCCTTTCCCAAGTGGTATGCTTCATGATTTGCATTTTCATCCTTCCACGTAACCATACTGATATCGTACTAGGCGACCGACCGAAAGAAGATTTTGAAAATGGGATTTGTGCCGCTACGCCATCGTTCGACAGATAAACCAATGCAAGCCGCTTCTCATATTCAAGAAACACCCGCTGTAGCAGCAATCCCCCCTCGCTTTCTGTCAACTCCGAACGAAGATTTCTCCCAAGCTACCAAAGCTCTCTACGAAAGAGAAGTTGCTAGGGGTATTAGTGAGAACGAAGAAATTTTTGCTGGAGAAGAAGTTGTCAGTACCACGAGCAAGCCAGCCTGGGCTAATAAATATCGGCCTCGGAAACCACGGTATTTTAACCGTGTTCAGATGGGTTACGAATGGAACAAATACAATCAGACCCACTACGACTACGATGACCCGCCGCCGAAAGTTGTTCAAGGGTACAAATTCAATATCTTTTATCCTGACCTTATCGATAAGACGAAGGCCCCAACTTATCGAATAGAACGTGAACATGGAAGGAAACGAGGACAATCTTTTGCTCCCGCTGGAGAAGAGGATACATGCATTATTCGTTTCATTTCAGGCCCGCCATACGAGGACCTTGCCTTTAGGATTGTGGATAAAGAATGGGACTACAGCGCAAAGCGGGAAAGAGGTTTTAAAAGTACATTTGAAAAGGTGAGTAGGGAGTAGCTACCCTTTTTGCAAACGCTATTCTAATATGGATTATCTTTTTAGGGCATCCTACAGCTGCACTTCCAGTTCAAAAAGGTATGCCTCATCAATGCCGTCAAATGGAGATGAAGTCCTAACAGAATCATAGATTTACTACCGCAAATGAACCCATTGTCTAATTTTCCTCTATCCAGTACTCTATTGGTTAGATGAAATTATGTCGCACACCATTTTACGGCATCCCGGGCTGGGCATTTTACAGAAATATCTAGATGCCGGTTATGAATATCGGCCCGATTTCCTTATCTTCTTTCTCGTGGTGGTATATTTAAACAGTTGGGTCACTTCGCCGCCATCGAAAGGTTTATCGACTCGCGCCAGGGTATATACATATTATTGTTCAGTAACTCCGTCAGGAAGTCTGGCCCGCAATATAAATTCAATTTCGTGGTCGCAGGTAATTGCTCAATATCGTTCCGCGCAACACTTTATTCCCTCATCCTATGATATCAGTTCATCGTCAAAAATGCAGTTTTGCCTCTATTTGTCGCTAGGCTGCTTGGGTATTTGGGTACGAGCAAGACGCTACCTTCATTTTAATTCTTGGGTGCGTGTTCCACCGGAAGGGAATCGGGCTTTCAAAACATTAATTCTATTGGGATCTTCGCCCTGGTCTAGCGGCCAGCGATTTTTGGAATTCGACACATGTGCCTCTTCTCACGCCAGATCCTATTGGTTTTGGAAAGGAAGATCTAGAAATAATCAGGCTTCCAGAAGCTTTGTCTGCCCGCTCTATAGGGCCTCCGCCACCGACCACGATGCTTCTGCAGAATGTAACTGGTGGCGGATTTCCAATCTTCATGCAGCTTCCCGTCCGCGCCCAATCTAGCATCACTTTAAGGTGAGCTAGGCAGCTTGACACATTTCTACCCCCTTCCCCGTTCTCCCACGCTACTGCAGAGGCCGATCTTGGCTACCCTTGCATGATAGTTGGCCTTACGTATGGGCAGCGGATTGTGTTCCACAAGGGCTTTACCTTCAGGCTAAACACTATGTTATACTGGATCTCAGTCTAACATCTGGATATTAATTCTTTGTTTGCTCCTTTTCTCTTCACCCCTTCTACAGCTTGTGGGGAGCAAGCATGTATCCTTGTGGCCTGTCCTATCCTGTAAGTTGTTTCAACAACTTGCCCCGGCTGACGCTCCATTTTCTTGCGGAAAACTGCTGTGTCTCTCCTTTACTTAGTCTCACAAGCCCTGTTCTTAAACAACTTCTCAGTTTAGTCACACATTCAGAGAATCCGTTGACCCCACCCACCGCTTTGGTTACAGCCCTGGACAAAGTGACCTTGTCCCAGTCCAGTGATGCGAAATATCAGGATGGAGGAAGCTCCTATGTCTCACTCCTTCCAGAATGTGCAGGCACACACAAGTTATACTCCCCTGGATGCGTCGCATCTGAATGGAAAACCGTCGCCACAACAACGCTCATACCCTTTGGAAGCCGTCTCAGCTCCGGAAACTTGTCTGGAAGAACTTCTATTTCCGTATTTTCCCATCAACATGCTTGACTTAACGAACGGTTCAAAAAGTCAACTTTCGCAATCGATGTCCGATACGCTTCCTGAAACGTATGCGTGGGGATTCGACCAGAATGAATTTTACAGTGATTTCGGGATCTTTGATCACGACATTCAGGAGGTCGCCGATACTATCATCCCGTCGCCAGCCCAGTTCAAGTCCACTTTCTCTGAGAATTGCGACCAATTTGACTTGATCAACCCGTTTCCTGCCCTCCAAGATCTTGAGCATCTTGCAGGCTTCAAAGAGTTCCACGCCGCGCGCAAGCCATATGGGCCGAATTCACCGGCATCATTTCCCGACAGCGAAGTCCTTCACCCCCAGTACGATATATCAGGCTCAGCCGGGTTTCGGCCATCTTTCAAAAGCTCAACCCCACGGCCTGGAAGTGCAATGTATTCGTCCTTCACCGCAGATAATTCGATGGCGTCCAGCCCATTAGGAGATTCGCAGCCGCTTCTTCAACCGCGTTCTGTTCCGGATATTGGGCTTGGGCTCTTCGAAGATGATTCAGATACGGATAGCATTACATCAGACGAGCCGTATGCAAGATTGATTTGGAAAGCACTAATGTCCGCTCCCGGTCATAAGATGGTTCTCAAAGAGATCTACGAATGGTTCGAGAAGCACACCAACAAGGCGAAGAACCCCGATTCGAAAGGATGGCAAAACAGCATTCGTCATAACCTTTCCATGAACGCCGTAAGTTTTGCGTCTTGTGATGGTTGCGTCGCACATTTTTGTTCACTAAACGGTTTTTAGGCATTCGAAGCAGTCCGTGAAGCCTCTTCGCCTGGAGGATCGCCAAAGAGATCTGGAAACGTTTGGGTTCTCACCAAACATGCTGTCAAACACGGCGTACAGTCAACGACTAGGTACAGGAAGATGCCAGGTATTCACAAGAAGACCACAAAGTCTGAGCACCCGGCGCCGCAACGGCAACGATCAGGAGCGAAAGGCGGACGTGCAGCCAGGAAGGCAGCGAGGTTCAGACGAGCCCTCCAAGAGGCCCAGAAAGCGGGTGAAAATCATTGCTATCCTGAAAATCTGAACGACATTACAACCCAGGCATCTTACACGACAAAGGAGCGCCCGCTGTCTCCACCGAATCCTGAGATGAATTTTGCTGTCGAGGGTTATGATCTCAGCTACCTTTCAGGCTGTACTGATTTCCCACCTGAATCTCCAATCTTCTATCATACCATCGGTACTGGAGAGCAGGCGCTGATCCCCGATTATTCTATCCTGGATGGCCAGGCGATTAGCCCAGATTTCAATCCATTCATGTAAATTTGACTTTTGTGGATAAAGGGGAGCCCTTTTTGCCCCATTCCCGCCCCAGCTTTGGCCTCTGGAGTTGCTTTTTTCCCTTGTGCTTGCAAACGTCACTTTTCTGCAGATGCATGGTATACTGCTTTTTTTTTTTTATTTTTTTTTCCTACGGGGTCTCGTATTTGATTTCTGACATTATGGCCCGTCAATTCCGGAGTGGTGAGGATTCACTTGGAGCATTATTCTGGAGTTATCTAAAGGCCGATTGCCTTGTGACAGCGCGTGTGTTAAAAGGTCTCTTAGCATTTCATGGATGAACTGACGATGGATACGGCCACTCCCGATAATACGTCATTTCTTGCTTGTACTGATTGTATGATAGTTTTTAGTTTTCGCCTTTTATAATGGTTCTTTTCTTATGATCCAGGGGGGGCGAGGAAGCCATTCTAGTTCCCTTGTGAAGATCGAAGCCTCCCCTCAGTGGTCTGCGTATATGACTCAACATCTGCATAAAAACGAATATGAGGCGAAGAACGGTGCTCTAAGGCCAGCGCCCTATGGAAGGCAAGGGAGTTAGATCAGCTTAGAGTTGGAACCGTTTTGTATTCTATCCCAGCGGAATTTTTTTTAAGAGATAGCTTGAAACAAGACTTTGGCCGTTGGCCCCAACCTCGTGGCAAGTTTCAATGTGAGGTCCCGTCTTGTCAAACAACTTTTGACCAGGTAGAATAAACCCTGAACTGGCTTCTGTTGTTCTTGACTCTCGCGGATGCTCTGCAGGGCTGAAGCCAGAATGGCGTTTCATCACTCTCGATGGGCCAGAAAAAAACCCTTGATAGCCTGCACCGCTTGTCCCGATTTGCTGTTCCTCCTTCCCAAGAAGTACTCCAATCAGCACGTTTTGGATATTTGTAGAGATGATCTACTCGCTCCCACAAGTGCAACCGAGAGCACGGCACAGTCACCATTGCTTGTAGGGCCATCCGAATCGACGGCATGAAGACACTGCAGCCGTGCGAAGCCCATTGGATGCTCATTGCTGGAAGGACCCGCGGCACATCTGCATGAATAAATTCCCTTGGATGCATTGGAAAAAACGCCGAAAACACTCTGTGTACAACCGTACAACCCCGGCACGAACCCATGATTCTGGCCTGAGCCGTCGATGCACGCTAAAAAGGGTGGTTGACGCCGTCGAGCTGGACCGCAGAACCAAACGAATGGCAGGTCTCGGTGTTCATGCCCACTCGTTCGTTTTTTTGGTTGAGTTGTGCTTGGCCGGACATGGGCTTTTTGTGTCGATTTTGGGATCTCAGTGGCATCCAACTCCTCACACGTTTGCGCGGTGCCTTTTCTCCACAAGCCCAAGCCGGCACGGGGTGATAATGGCTGCTTGAAGAACCGGTTTCCTATTCATCGTTGTTTGGATCGCAGGCCATGGCCCGGGATAAGCATTCACCAATACAGAGTAGGACATGAATCCTCGCACTGCTTTCTTTTCCCACGGGCATATCCCCGAAGTTGACCTGTCAAACCCCCAGCACCCAGACGAGATCAGCGCCGATGAAGTTGTGCGAGAGCAGTCCGGCTTCGACAAATGCGAAAACCCTGCGCATGTGACCCAAAGATCTTACGCCTGGAGGTGTGTTCAGCCCATCTCCGGACGACCGAGTCACTCTGTTCTAGCCGCAAAGACTGGAAATGGATTGCATACGGGATGCATACGATGAATCTGGATAAGCGGCTTGATTTCGAAAATGCCCAGCTTCGGAATCGAGCAAAACTCATCATCTGTTTCCTGACCTTCAAGGCCAGTGCAAATGACGCGGGACGGGCTGTTCGAACCGAGATGCAGGCTCCTAACCTCGCTAACTCATCGACCTGAGACTCGCCGTCCCATGCATCGTTTTCGATCCGTGGCTCTTGGTAGCGGCCCGATCCAGAACCTACTCCGCGTAGGCTTTCCGCCTCGAGTTCTGCAGAAAAAGCCATCGTCCACGGGAGCACGGAAGAACCACCCCGTCCGTTGTTGTGAATCTTTGCTGTACCTGGTTAATCCCCCCCCCCAAACCCCAAGCAGCCTGAGGAAGAATCCGCCAATAATACCAGCGTTTGATCGCAGGAGCAAAGAGCGTTGGGGTTGGATTAACAATGTGGCTGTCCCGTACCGATCTTTGCACAAGCACACACCAGTGATTGAGATTTCCCAGATCTGGACGGGAATTTTGTCAGGCTTGATGGGAGCTTGTTTCTACGCCACCCGGAAGCACAGAGTTGTTGTCTTCCGCGCTGGCATAACGAGCTATTTTGCCTCCGAACAAACGGGCTCTCCATTAACCATTCTGGAAACCTTGTCAGTGTCCGCTGGCTGGAGCCCCTGGGTAACTGTACTCTGTATGGAGTATTGTTCCTTTCTTTCGAAACTTCTTGCTGCAAGGCTGACTCCTCGGAGAGCATGCTTCAAGCGCTGCAACGCTGGAAGGATATCTCTCCATAACAAACCAACGAGATGTCTCAGTTAAACCAATGCTGGGCTCTGCCCATCAATATCTCTTGCACTTTCTCCTCTTCGCCTCACCCTAAGTCCTCAAACGATGCGCCATCCTCTTCGAATGGCTACTTTGTCGACAAGGTTCCATTTCCTCTTTCTGGAGAGTACTCAAGAATTCCCCTAATTCAATTGGGTTGCCACCGCGCAAAAGGAAGTCGATCGGGTCCCTGCAGCGGTTGGCGATGTATGTCTTGACGCATCCTAGTGGGTCGGGACCGCGGAAGACCCCGACTCCTCCAAGATTCACCATTGTTCGAGAGTGGACAAGCCGCACGCAGTAATATCTGTGCTGGCTTCAGAAAGAACCGCTGATAGCGTCTTTCTATTTTCCTTCCGCCATCCCTTGCAACGAGCAAATTCCTGTGAGTGTAGTCTTGGGTCACCAGAGAAATATACCTGACGGGTTTCTAAGACATATATTATCGGCATGGCCTAAAGGGGCTCAAATGCATGTCCTCCACCAGTCTTTCACAGCTCAAGCGTCTTGAAAATCCTTCCAGTCTCTCGCTCCCGAAGCACGCAATGCACCTGGAGCAGCGCGGTGTTTGTGGAACCCTGGCGGATGTGTTGCATATGTTGGTATTTAATAGGGCGATTAGCCGCTGCCATCTCGCGGCGTCTTTGTGACGACTGTGGTTTACCGGCCACCATGCCAAAGGACTAAGCTGCATTGCTCAGATGGTTCTTTGTTTATTCATCCATCATTGTTTGGCTCTGCCGCGATGTGCTATTGTATCCCTCTTTGTGTTACAGGGATATCTCGAGATCTATCAATAGCACCTGCAGAAGAAGCTAGAAAACGGCCATCTAGAATATTAAGAGTACCACAGGGAAGAGAGGGTTCGCCTGAATGGTTCGCTTCATGATATGGGTTGGCTATGTGGTATGCATGTCTCTGGCACAGCGCTCAAATGCCCCGTTTGGCTTTTCAAATTCCATACGTTCTCTCAGTGGAGGCACATAAGCGGTCGAAACAAATGCTGATGGTACTGAGCCCACTTTACAAATTCAAAGTCAGGAAGTTATTCATTGGCATTGTTGGCTAATGACAGCCAGAAGATGAAGCATTCCATGAGTAAAATAGGGCCATTAAATAACCCCCTAACAGGATTTCATTGGAAAGCTCGTGCAATCAGGTAAGATTAGCATGGTTGAGTGCTTCGTTACCCATGCCATTTATGTCCCAGAACTCCGGTGCAATCCAATGTCATACCAGACCCATCACCGTACCAGACAACATCTTTTTATTCTTTCATCTCTTCTTCGCCGAAGCAGCGGCCTTCTCTTGCGACTCCTTCAAGACCTTCTTGACGATCTTCTGCTCTTCAATCAAGAAAGCACGAACAATCCGGTCCTTGACGCAGTTTCCGCAGCGGGAGCCACCGTAAGCACGGGTTACAGTCTTCTTTGGGCGAGAGATTTGAGAGTATTCACGGGGACGAAGAGCGGGAATCTTGTATCAAATATGGTCAGCACCGTAAAACTTTCCCATGACTACCCAATCGAACGACACCCCATTCTTCTCCAGTCATTCCATTCCAAAACTAAAAGAGAGACTCACGCCTGGGAGCTTGATGCCGCAGTCACCGCATTTTGGTGCAGTACCCTTCTTTTTGATGTGGAGGTATCGAAGTTCACCACCGGGAGTCTTGATAACGCGGACCTTGTTGGACCGTGTCTTGTACCTGATGGCGAAAACAGTTTTCGTTAATAACGGTTCGAAATTTCTAATGACAAACTTGATCGAATAGCTTCCAAAGGTGCACGTACGGGTTTCTTCGTCGCTGAAAGGTTTCAAAATATTGGTCAGCATTTTCGGTCATCCATTCTCGAGATTGGCATCCTTAACTCACGTATTGAAGCCTGGTATTTGCCATTTTGTCTGTCCTCTAATCCCAGGGTTCGTGAGGTTCGGTGGTGGAGGATGGCGGCGTCGTCGTTGGTCGTCAATTCGATTTCAAGGTGCAACCGCGATTTGTGTGGGTTGGAGGTTGTTGCGCGCTAAGAATTTTGGCGAGCATGCGCTAGTCCCAGAGCGGCCTAGCTTGTGCCAAGACCCCTGTCGCCACTCCCAGGAAATCTTCCAACGCGCTTCACCTTGCTGTCGTTGCGAAAGAGCTCTCGACGACGCCATCCATCCTCACACTTGATTTTTGGCGCGAGACACCCAAGCCGTTTCGTCCGCTTGCCTTTCGTTTTTATTTTTGCCTGCTCTCGGGCCGTCTCAGGAAGCGCTCATGGTGAGACTGACGTGAGCCGATCCCATTCTCGACGCGAATCGTCGTTCTGTTCTTGCGGGCTGAATTCTCACAATGGCTTCGCTACCTCCTCCACCGCCTCCAGGATGGGGAGCAGGAGCTCCGCCGTCCATGCCTTTTGCGCCTCCGCCCCCCGGGTACCAACCGCCGGCCGATCCCAGATTCGCCAAGTTCGAGCACAAGAAGAAGGAATGGCTTCGAACTCAACGAAATCGGTTTGGCGAGAAAAGGAAAGCGGGGTTTGTGGAAACACAGAAGGCGGATATGCCGCCGGAGCATTTACGAAAGATTGTTAAAGACATTGGAGATGTATCGCAGAAGAAGTTCAGTACCGATAAAAGAAGCTACCTCGGAGCGTTGAAGTTTATGCCGCATGCTGTGTTGAAACTATTGGAGAACATGCCAATGCCTTGGGAATCCGCTAGGGAGGTCAAAGTACTTTACCATGTGAATGGTTGCTTAACCCTCGTCAACGAAACCCCCCGAGTTATTGAACCCGTTTTCCATGCACAATGGGCGACCATGTGGGTTTGTATGCGACGGGAGAAAAGTGATCGAAGGCATTTCAAGAGAATGCGGTTTCCGCCTTTTGATGACGAAGAACCTCCCCTGTCTTGGTCTGAAAATATTGAAGATGTGGAACCTTTGGAACCAATTCAAATGGAACTCGATGAGGCTGAAGATGGACCAGTATATGAATGGTTCTACGATCATAGACCTCTTCTTGATACTCCCAATGTAAACGGACCTAGCTACAAGGAGTGGAATTTGACGCTACCGCAAATGGCCACCCTATACCGGTTGAGTCGACAGCTTTTGAGTGACGTCGTGGATAAGAATTTTATGCATATGTTTGACATGAACAGCTTCCTCACAGCAAAAGCCCTCAATGTTGCTATACCCGGAGGCCCCAGATTTGAACCGTTATACAAGGATATAGATCCAAATGATGAGGATTTTGGAGAGTTCAACGCTATTGATCGTATCATTTTCCGAGCACCGATCAGAACCGAGTACAGAGTTGCTTTCCCTTATCTGTACAACTCATTGCCGAGGAGCGTGAAGCTGTCATGGTACTCTTATCCTCAAGTTGTATATGTCCGAACCGATCCAAATCTCCCTGCATTCTACTTCGATCCCGTCATCAATCCGATATCTTCTCGATCAGTCGCCCCTAAAAACATTACTGTCACCCACGAAGATGAAGTCTTTGGTCCTGGAAACGATGAAGATGATTTCGAACTTCCAGGTGATGTTGAACCATTTCTAGCTGATGAAGAGCTTTATACTAGCGAAACGGCATCGGCTATTAGTCTGTGGTGGGCGCCATATCCTTTCGATCGCCGCTCGGGCAAAATGGTACGGGCACAAGATGTTCCTCTGGTAAAACAGTGGTACCTCGAACATTGTCCTCAGGGCCAGCCCGTGAAAGTTCGTGTGTCATATCAAAAGCTTCTGAAGACTTATGTTCTCAACGAACTACATAAAAAGAAGCCCAAAGCCCAGAATAAACAGAATTTGTTGAAGGCGCTAAAAGGAACGAAATTTTTTCAGCAGACAACAATCGACTGGGTAGAAGCTGGCCTTCAAGTTTGTCGTCAAGGTTTCAACATGCTCAACCTGCTGATCCATCGCAAAAACTTGACATACCTCCATTTGGATTACAATTTCAACCTGAAGCCTGTCAAAACTCTCACCACGAAAGAACGTAAAAAGTCTCGTTTTGGTAACGCTTTCCACCTGATGCGAGAGATCCTCCGGCTCACCAAATTGATCGTTGACGCGCAAGTTCAATATCGGCTTGGTAATATTGACGCTTTCCAACTTGCTGATGGGATATTATACGCATTCAATCATGTCGGTCAACTCACAGGCATGTATAGATACAAGTACAAGCTTATGCACCAAATAAGATCTTGCAAAGACTTGAAGCATTTGATCTATTATCGCTTCAATTCTGGATCCGTGGGGAAGGGACCTGGTTGTGGGTTCTGGGCACCCGCGTGGAGAGTCTGGCTGTTTTTCCTCCGGGGCATAATCCCCCTTCTTGAACGCTGGCTTGGGAATTTGCTCTCCAGGCAGTTCGAGGGTCGACATAGCAAGGGTGTGGCAAAGACCGTTACCAAGCAACGGGTCGAGTCTCATTTTGACCTGGAACTCCGTGCCTCCGTGATGGCGGATCTCATGGATATGATGCCAGAAGGCATTAAGCAAAACAAGGTTAATACAGTACTTCAACATCTCTCGGAAGCTTGGAGGTGCTGGAAGAGTAATATTCCTTGGAAAGTACCCGGCCTTCCTGCTCCAATCGAAAATATCATCCTACGGTATGTAAAGAGCAAAGCGGACTGGTGGATATCTGTTGCTCATTACAATCGAGAACGGATTCGACGCGGGGCTACTGTCGATAAAACAGTGGCTAAGAAGAACTTGGGCCGTTTGACCCGTCTTTGGCTGAAAGCGGAACAGGAGCGACAACATAACTATCTGAAAGACGGACCTTACGTATCTTCCGAAGAAGCTGTTGCAATCTACACTACGACCGTTCATTGGCTCGAATCTCGCAAGTTTTCGCCCATTCCATTCCCCAGTGTGTCCTACAAACACGACACAAAAATATTGATTTTGGCCTTGGAACGCCTGCGTGAAGCGTATTCCGTCAAAGGCCGTTTGAACCAAAGTCAGCGAGAAGAACTTGCCTTGATAGAACAAGCCTACGATTCCCCAGGGACAACACTGGCCAGGATCAAAAGATTCCTTTTAACGCAACGAGCTTTCAAGGAGGTTGGCATTGATATGAACGATAATTATAGCCACATCAACCCAGTCTACGATATTGAACCTATCGAGAAAATCACGGATGCGTACCTAGATCAGTATCTCTGGTATCAAGCTGATCAACGGCATCTTTTCCCGTCGTGGATCAAACCGTCTGACTCTGAGGTGCCGCCGCTACTTGTTTACAAGTGGGCTCAGGGCATAAACAATCTTTCGAACGTATGGGAAACTGCCGATGGCGAGTGCAACGTCATGGTCGAGACTGAACTTTCGAAAGTGTACGAGAAAATTGATCTTACCCTACTTAACCGTCTACTCCGCCTCATCATGGACCATAACTTGGCGGATTATATCACTTCCAAAAACAACGTCCAGCTCAATTACAAAGACATGAATCACACCAACAGCTATGGTTTGATCCGCGGTTTGCAATTTTCAGGTTTCGTTTTCCAATACTATGGATTGGTGATTGATTTGTTATTGCTCGGATTGCAGCGAGCCAGCGAGTTAGCTGGCCCGCCGCAAAGCCCTAACGACTTCCTGCAGTTCAGAGATCGGGAAACGGAAACCAGACACCCGATCCGCCTTTACACGAGGTATATTGATAAAATCTGGGTCTTCTTTCGATTCACTGCCGACCAGTCTCGTGATTTGATACAACGATTTTTGACGGAACAGCCGGACCCCAATTTTGAAAATGTCATCGGATACAAAAATAAGAAGTGTTGGCCAAGGGATTCTAGGATGAGGTTGATGAGACACGACGTTAATCTTGGTCGTGCCGTTTTCTGGGACTTGAAAAACCGTCTTCCGAGGTCCATAACAACAATTGAATGGGATGACACTTTTGCGAGTGTGTATAGCCGAGACAACCCCAACCTCCTGTTCTCAATGTGCGGCTTCGAAGTCCGTATACTACCAAAGTCTCGAAATCAAAATGAAGAGTTCTCGGTAAAAGGACAGTGTTTGGTCTCTGACAGATAACTCAACAAAGGAACGGACTGCATACGCTTTCCTCCAAGTCACCGAAGAGGACATTCAAAAATTCAATAATCGTATCCGACAGATTCTCATGTCTTCCGGGTCCACTACGTTCACCAAGATCGCGAATAAATGGAACACTAGCCTGATCGCGCTTTTTACGTATTATCGTGAAGCTGCAGTTTCTACGGTCAACCTACTGGATACCATCGTCAAATGCGAAACTAAGATTCAAACGCGAGTAAAGATTGGCCTTAATTCAAAGATGCCATCCCGTTTCCCTCCTGCGGTATTCTATACACCCAAGGAATTGGGTGGGTTAGGTATGATTTCCGGATCGCACATCCTTATCCCGGCAAGTGACAAACGATGGTCGAAGCAAACGGACACTGGGGTCACGCACTATAGAGCTGGCATGTCGCATGACGAGGAGACGCTAATTCCCAATATTTTCCGTTACATCATTCCATGGGAAGCAGAATTCATTGATTCCCAACGCGTCTGGATGGAGTATTCGCAGAAGCGACAAGAAGCAAACCAGCAAAATCGAAGATTGACACTCGAAGACTTAGAGGACAGTTGGGATCGCGGTTTGCCCCGTATCAACACTCTATTCCAAAAAGATCGTAGCACTCTTAGTTTCGATAAGGGTTTTCGTACTCGTACGGAATTCAAGACCTATCAGTTGATGAAGAGCAATCCTTTCTGGTGGACTAGTCAAAGACATGATGGAAAATTGTGGAATCTCAACGCTTACCGAACCGACGTTATTCAAGCTTTGGGAGGTGTGGAAACAATCCTTGAGCATACGCTTTTCAAAGCTACTGCATTTCCGTCCTGGGAGGGCCTTTTCTGGGAAAGAGCTTGCCTTGCCAAAGGAACACGACTGCTGCGATACGACCGCACCGAGATTAACGTGGAGGATGGTCAAGAAGGTGACCAACTCCTTGGTCCTGACGGCCATCCTCGCCGCGCCTTCAACATTGTGAGTGGTCAAGACCGCCTATATCGTATCAAAATCGGCGAAGGCGTAGAAGACCTGGTAGTCACGCCAAATCATATTCTGGTCTTTCACCGGGAGAAGCGCGCCGAGAATATGCCCTCTGGGCAGCAAGCTGGCGTAACTGAAGAGCGGCCACCTGAAGCTTCAGAGGCAGCACGCTACGACACCGTGGAAATGACCGCCGCCGAATTTGCTGCCTGTGACCCCAAGGAAAGAGTCTTGTACAAAGTGTTTAAATCCCCAGCCTTTACAATGCCTGAAAAATCTGAATCGGTCAACGCCGAAGCGCATAGTTTTGTGGTTAATGATATCAGCCTTGAAAGCGAGGAGACAGAGTGGGCCGGTTTTCGAGTCGATCAAGACCAGCTTTATTTACGCCATGATTATCTTGTCTTGCACAACAGTGGATTCGAAGAGTCAATGAAGTTCAAGAAACTTACTAACGCCCAGAGATCTGGTTTGAATCAAATTCCTAAACCGTCGTTTCACGCTGTGGTGGTCTCCAACTATCAACCGTGCAAACGTCTATGTTGGTTTCCAAGTACAACTTGATCTTACAGGTATATTCTTACATGGCAAGATCTCCACTTTGAAAATCTCTTTGATTCAAATTTTTCCGAGCACATTTGTGGGCAGAAGATTCACGAGTCAGTTGTTATGGATCTTTGCCAGGTATTTGATCAAGAACTTGAGCAATTGGGTGTTGAAACGGTCCAAAAAGAGACTATACATCCTCGAAAATCCTACAAGATGAACAGTTCCTGCGCCGATATACTTATGTTTGCTACACACAAATGGAACGTTACGCGCCCTTCTCTCCTGTTCGATACCAAGGATGTCATCGAAGCTACCACGACGAATAAATTCTGGCTGGACGTGCAGTTAAGGTATGGCGACTACGATTCTCATGATATTGAAAGATACGTCCGCGCCAAGTATCTCGACTATACCACGGATAGCATGAGCATTTATCCATCGGCAACCGGTTTAATGATTGGAATCGACCTTGCATATAACCTTTATTCTGCATACGGACAATATTTCCCTGGATTAAAAGCGCTCGTTCAACAAGCTATGGCTAAGATCATGAAGGCAAATCCAGCTCTGTATGTTCTCAGAGAGCGTATCCGTAAGGGTTTACAGCTTTACGCATCGGAGAGCAACCAAGAATTTCTGAACTCACAGAATTACTCCGAACTTTTCAGTAACGATATACAACTTTTCATCGACGACACCAACGTCTACCGTGTCACAATTCACAAAACATTTGAAGGCAATTTAACTACAAAACCGATCAACGGCGCCATTTTTATTTTTAACCCGCGAACCGGCCAGCTTTTCTTGAAAATCATCCATACAAGCGTCTGGGCTGGCCAGAAACGTCTGGGTCAATTGGCTAAATGGAAAACTGCAGAAGAAGTGGCTGCCCTTATCCGATCTCTACCAGTTGAGGAACAACCCAAGCAGTTGATTGTTACAAGAAAAGGCCTTCTTGACCCTCTCGAAGTGCACCTCCTCGATTTCCCAAACATTTCGATTCGAGCATCCGAGTTACAACTGCCCTTCCAGGCAGCCATGAAGATCGAAAAACTTGCAGATATGATTCTTAGGGCAACCGAGCCGCAGATGGTGCTTTTCAACTTGTATGACGAATGGTTAAAAACAATCTCGTCGTACACAGCCTTTTCTCGATTGGTCCTGATTCTCCGAGCTCTTCATGTCAACATTGACAAAACGAAGATCCTCTTACGTCCAGATAAAACTGTAATTACCCAGGAACACCATATCTGGCCCACTCTCTCGGATGAAGATTGGATTAAGCTTGAAGTTCAGCTCCGCGACTTAATCCTGAACGATTATGGCAAGAAAAACAATGTCAACGTGCAGAGTTTGACAAGCAGCGAAGTTAGAGATATTATTCTCGGTATGGAAATAAGTGCTCCGTCATTGCAACGCCAACAAGCTGCCGAAATGGAGAAGCAGCAACAAGAGCAGAAACAACTCACCGCTGTGACAACGAAAACACAAAATGTACGCGGGGAAGAGATTATTGTTACAACCACGTCTCAGTACGAACAGCAGTCATTTGCATCAAAAACCGAATGGCGTACCCGTGCCATTGCCACATCGAATCTACGGACTCGGGCGAACAATATCTATATTTCATCGGAGGACATTCAAGAAGACGGACACTTCACATATATCATGCCGAAGAACATTCTCAGGAGATTCATCATGATAGCGGACCTGAGGGTTCAGGTAGCCGGCTATTTATACGGCCGCTCACCACCGGATAATCCACAGGTTAAAGAAATACAAACTATTGTCATGGTACCGCAAGTTGGGAATACTCGAGATATTCAGCTTCCTCACCAGCTGCCTAAGCATGAATATCTCAACGATCTGGAGCCCCTAGGAATCATTCACACGATGTCCGGCAATGAGCCATCATACATGACTGCTATGGACGTGACACAGCACTCCCGTCTAATGAATGCACACGCATCATGGGATAAGAAGACTGTGACGATGACGGTCTCCTTTACGCCAGGCTCCGTCTCTTTGTCTGCATGGGCATTAACCCCCCAGGGTTATAAATGGGGTGCCGAGAACAAGGACACGAGTTCCGACCAACCGCAAGGGTTCTCGACCAGTTTCGGTGAGAAATGTCAGCTCCTGCTCAGCGATCGCATTCGTGGCTATTTCTTGGTTCCTGAGAACAATGTGTGGAATTTCAGTTTCATGGGCAGTTCGTTCAGCAGTGTGGAAAAGAGACCTGTGTACGTGAAGGTTGACACTCCGCTGCGATTCTATGACGATCAGCACAGGCCCCTGCACTTCCAGAACTTTGCTGAGTTGGAGGATATCTGGGTTGATCTAAGCGATAACTTTGCGTGATCTTTCGTCTTGCTTCTTGGGTTCCCTTTTGGATGTAGAAGAGAGTTTGTTTCCAATGTTGTATGGCGTTTCAGCAATTCCGCTCCCAAAAGGATCAGCGGTTTCAATTATCTTCAAGGTTGTATTTTTTGGCAATGGTTGCATGTACTTTAATATCATGAAATTGAACCTGGCTCGGTATGTATTCTAGGCAGTACAATGATAATGGATTAGCTAGCTACCACGACTTTGCTTTTGAAGACTTGAGATTCTGATTTATAGCAATTTCGTGTCCTCATCCTAAGCTCGCCACTTCTAGGAATTGTACTCTGCAATTCATTATTTTCCCCCTAGAAATGAAGTTTGAGAGGAGGAGTACCAACCGACCAAGGTGCTCCGGAGGTAGCCACATGCTTTGGGCTTATGTAGTGCCCTGCAGCCGGGAATCACCGTTCGGGAGTCACCGAGCCGATCCTAAGAGAAACAAAAAGCAAGCATAGAGCGATGATTTCCAACCGAAGAATGCTCCGATCAGCGTCTCTGCCCGCCTGTCAGGTACAGCATGTCTTGTTTGACCGCCTTCGCCCAGATCGGTTCTTGCACGAGCTTATTACCTTACATCCTGGGCGAAAGGCTTTCCGGAGAATCCTTGTCAACATGTGTTTTATCTTTGGAGGAGGGCCAAGTCAATTCTCTCAAAAAAGAAAAACGGGAGTCTGGTTCCCGATTTTTTCTGTCGCGCGATCTCGATTCTCGACCCTACCATTTCCACCTGCCCATTAACTACCCTCTCGAACCTCAGCCATGCTCAGATTGTGAAACGCACCCAAGCATAAAAGCGGTCTGGCGAAGATTTTATGGTTGGTTCGGGCCGAGGATGGGGGACGGAGCGGACGCTATAACTACTCAACGGGAGCCGTTGTTTGGGGGGGTCTGCCGAAGTGCCGAAAACGAGGACGTTTATGCACGTCCGATACGTCCAGCGCCCGGGGGGGTTGCATTCTGCATTGAAGTTCTGGCGGTATGGCGCATAGCTTCATCTCGAAGCCATGCACCGTCGTGTGTTCTGGCCCAGGCATCCGCGTGGGGGGAGGGAAGAGGAGGAAGCGGGAAACAAGCGTGCTGGTCTTGGGTCAGGCGAAGAGACGGGGCCCTGAATGGATGCTCTTTTGCTGCGGGTTGACGAAAGAGTATTAGCAAATGTCTGAAGGATCCTTTAGGGGCGTTTCAGAGTAAATGCGCCCTTTTTACTTGGGACTCTTTTTTTTTTGCAATTGGAGGTTGCATTCTTCTTTCGATTCAATGAAAGAAGATTCCAGGGCGAATGCTTCTCGGACTGCCTTTGAGAGTGTCGAAGCATTCGTTCTAAAGGAATTTCCTGCCATTCCGGCACAAATATATCAACATGGGATGCCATGTTGTGAAGCTGGGAGATGTCCTGCAATCCGCTTTGCTGGATTAGCGCTTGCCTGTTGCCCAGATGGCATTCAAAGCAGCCCAGCCCTCAGAAACCTTGCCGATACGTGGGCAAAATGGTTCTCCTTTTCATCGGCTCTTGCATAGCAAGAATCCCCGATGCGACAATCAATCGCTTCAAGAGCGCAAATCCCACAGCCTCGACATTGAAAATCCAAAGGGACGAGAGGAAAATCGTGGCCAAGTGTGGCGAGTTTCGACTCGTCAAGGGGCTCCTCTGAACCGACTCTGTTGGCATCCCAGACGCCTGGTGGACCTGAGCCGTATTCTTTGAACGAGAAACCCTTTTCTCTTTTGGAACGGGGAGAGAGTCTTTTCATGATTCCCTCCCCCCTTGATGACTCGTGTGTTCCAGTGGGACCTTTTTTCTTAATTTTGGCTGGGGGGGGTTCTTAACAGAGGGAGCTACATTAAGACGGGTGTTATCGACTGGGGGAGTTCGCAGCTTGTTGGGAGGCGTCGAGCGGGGACGGGGTTACCGAACAGCACTTGCATTTCCCACATAGCTTGACTGCCTGGGAGGATTGCACGGACCAAAAGGCCATGTGCATGAGATACCTTGCCACATCGGATTGGAAGCTCTTTGCTCTGAGATAATGATACAATGAGAGAGTGAAGCCAGTCTAGCGAGTGGCGGGAGATGCTTCGTATGGGGCTATCAAGCAAAGCGCTCGACTTTGTTAGCACAAGCAAGGCACCAATATCCGGGCCAGTGTTCCATTGCCTACGGGGCGGCTGGTCATGGGCAATGCTTGTTGGAATTGCCTGGAGTTTCCCCCGTGTTCGGCATTGAAAAGGGGCAAAGGGGGTGGAGAATCGATAGTTCGAGCGGCTGGTCAACATGACAGCGTCAGCGAATCCTACGATTAGCGCCGGCAATCAACAGCCTTGTGAAGAGGAATCAATTTTTTCAGCGAGTCTACGGAGTATAAGAGTGTGGAATTGGTGATGATATTCATGGTTTCATGAGGACGGGATGGTAATGTGCATGAAGTTGGTGAATATTACTCCGTACACGGAGACCAAGCAGGAAAGCCCAGCTTTCACAGCTGAGTACACACAGCTAGTTACAGCTTTCAGCTCTCAGAGAAACAGACGCATTTCCACATGCTTTTCACCCGGCTTGAAGGAGTGGCATCTCCGTCCGATCGAGGATGCTATTCCAGGCCTGCCGGGCTAGTCCCAGAACAGAAGGTCGTCGGATAAAGCCCGGCCCGAAGCGGCTGGCGACAACCTTACCTAATATTATGCGGCTAAAATTGATAGTCGCGGCGAAGAGTCGAATGAGCGAAAAGACAACGGCAACGGCGCTGAAAATTGATTTTGAGCGCCTTTTTCTTTTTCTTTTTTCGTTCTCGTATTTTAAAACCAGCCAGATGCCTCCAAGACAAAGTCATTTCCAGTGAAATAGGAATGTCTTGTGCTCCGTACGCTCATTGCATTTGAGCTTGTGGATCATTGAGTGGTAAAGATCATTACCCATCACTTTGTATAATCAGTTTCCAATCTCATTTGACCACACACCTGTTGTCTCCCCACTTCTGAAAGCACTCTGCATCAAAACCATCACTTATTCTACTTCACCCTGTATTTGGAGTATGGGATCTTTACCCTATACTTATTCTGTGGCTCGATCATGCATGCTGATAGCCCTTTGCCATCATGGGAGGTCGTCAACTCTTCTGCTTCTGAACCGCATGTACCTTGGCCACGGAGTCCATCATCATTTGCCTCAACCGATGATGCTAAAAAGTACTTTACATGCTGTTTCTATTCCCTATTCTCAATACCACCGACCTCCAATTATATCTCCAACCTCCAGTTTGCCTTCAATGGAACAGGAGCCGATCTTTACCTTGCTGATGAAGAGGTGCTTACTCAGTATACAGGCAATACCATAATCGCAAGGAAGATCTATAGGTCCTCACAAGATTCACCTCTCAGTACGGAGGTCGCCGCCATATGTTTTGGTCCTTCAGTATAGGGGCCTCGGCGCTGCTTAGCGGTCCTTAACTTGTAGGGCTGCAGAGACCAACCCCCCTTTCCCCAACAAGATCACTTCTAAACTCAAGCCTGTGAACATCTGAAAGTGTGCCAAGGATTCAAGGGAATCAAGATTTATGGCGGTGATCTCTGTACAGAACTTGAGGATGAACTGGGGAATAAGCACATCGCTGCAAGAGTACACATTGATGGTCCTCTAGCAGTGGGTTAGAAGCGTACAGGCAAGGCAAGGGATATCAATGTCTGACTTACCAGTTCTGTCGGGCTTCTCAACATAATGTCGTGGAGGTTGAATTTGGGTATCACTCCAAAAGATGAGAAATGGAAACAATCTCACCTTTTGTTTATGTGCCAGAAATGTAGAAGCATTCAGCTGAATACCACCTCCTGAACATATTTCTGATGCGACAAGGAGAAGATTAGTTACACTCATGTTCATGTCGGAGTCATCTGCTTAACAGCCCAGGTTAGAAGGGAACAAGTTGAGCACCCAGCAATTCCCCATTCGCGAGGCCACTCCTTGGGACGTGAGCCAGGCTCCTTAACGGTTGCCTCAGTAACTCAGGCCCAGGACTGATCAAAGGACATGTTCTGCCCATATTCACCTAACTCTATGTAGTATATTGGAGTTGTTCATCTCGAACAATCGAGGGTTTGGTATTGCTTCGTACGGTGGTGGACGGGAATCCAACGCGCAAATCACTTTTCCGAGATAGCTTATTTGAAGAATACAATGCCTGAAAAGCAGAGATTGGATATGAAGACTTTCTGTGGTGCCTTATTCTCCCCTGATGGCTTGCCACGGATGTTACTGTGAGTCTCATATTTTCGTACAGGCATGGCCAGCCGACGATGACAGCGTTGGGGAGACCATGAGCCAGAGCTTTTCAGTCCCAAAAACGGACTTCTCATCTCAAAACACATCCACGCAGAATTTGGGAACCGGCCTGTTCGTCATTGTTCCAGAACTGCCTGAAAACCCAGCAACTGAGGCGAGAATTGAGTGGCACCGGAGCGGGCTAAAAGAGTATAAGCTGAAGAGCATTGACTACGATCCGACGAGACTTAACCGGATGATCCCAGACGTCAATGTACTGTGGAGGGAGCTAGATGGGAAAAACCTCAAATTCAGGAATGACTACCGCAGCCAACCTGGCCCCGGTGTGATCATCCACCATGTGGCGCCGAAGTCAAATCAGACATCCATCCTTGAACAGACATCAATTTCTGACTCTCGAGTCCCTGCCACCTGGCCCATCTTTTATGCAAGTTCCACCAATCAAAAACCGGATCTTCGCATGCTTGTCCACGCTACTTCGAACCGTTTGCATTTTTTCGAATCTTGATCGGCTGCTGAAGATACGACGGATTATCGCTTGAAGGGGAAGAACTTAATCTGAAGAGTAGCCCATCTCAGTATGAAGTACGGAAAAGTACGAGGGAGCGGCCTCCTTTCAAGCTACACGCGCCTGCGGATATTGATGGCTGACATCTTTTGACGAGAAACACTGTATCAGATTCGGATTCTCGTTCTTCTTGGCGAGAATGCTCGCAACCTTAACCATGAGTCGAGTGATCGAAACACTGTCTTATTTCTCGTTGGTGCTGGCAGTCAATGTTCATTTCGGGTGCTGCATACAGTCAGAAGGGGTGTTCAGTTGGTACCTCAGCGCTTGTGGCAGAGGTGGAGCCTGTTCTCTGTCTCTGCTTTTTGCCATGTCTGTCTCTCTGCATGAACTGCATGTCCCCTCTATGCCAAGGTCCTGAACAGAAATTAAAAGCGCAATTTTGGTGGAAAATCGTTGATGGGGAATAGTTGATTGGATGTCGTTTTCGGTCTCATATCCGACAGTTGCCAGGGTTGCTGACCTGATACAGGTCACGAACGCATCATATCCGCTGTTTGATTTCATTTTCGTCACTTGTTTGTTTTTCTGATCTTATTTTCTTTTCCCCCACGAGGAAACAGGATTAATCGCGGAGAGTAACTTTCTGGCCCTGCATACAGGGCCGTCAAGTATGTCGTCAGCAGACCAAGCTCGTGAAAACCTGGTCCTGCTTGGGCGACATTACAGAGGAGAAACGCCTCTACCTCAGGAGCTCTCCACCGAAAGTGTGAGATTAGCGATTGAGTTTCCGCTTCCAAGAGGTTTGTCCAAGGGTTCGAGGAAGTGCCCAAAAGGAAAAGGGGCCGAAAGAAAGTGGGCGATTGGATCCGTGGCAGGAGTTCCTCCATCTTCAGGTACCTGATCGTCAGCAAGGAGGAAGCATCAACAAGGAATTGACGTGGGTGACGGGGGTGCCAGCTACAGGCCCTGAGTGGTCTAGGGCTGCCGACCCAAAGCGGTGATGCCGAACAATATCATGAAGCCAAAAACACGCTCGCTAGTATATGCGATCCAGACGCTCGGGGTCTCACTGCTCCGATTGACGGGTAAAACCCTCAATAGCATGAGTTTGGTGGCTTGCGGCCTCAAGATTAATGCAAAAAATTACTGGGAATTAACAGACAAGGCCGAAATTCAGGTCGTGTTTGAGATTGGTCAAAGTGTTAGCCCAGTTTCGCTTCCGAAAAAGCATTGGCGCGCATCGAAAAGTGAATGAAAAAAAATAGGAACTAAACCAGGATCAATTATTTTCGGTGTCTTAAATCTCCAGCAAACCAGTTAATAACATGATGCTTGTTCATCCTCACTGGCGAACTGACGGTTCCGCCCGACCCAGGAACTCTGCCAGACTCCCTGCACGGGTTGATTCTCTCAATGTCGAATCCCAGACAGAACAGTAATAAACCATGTTGGTGGACTTGCTCCTCCCGTGCTCTGAAAATGGGCGTGAGCTGATCATCGACTGTGATTGTTATGTTTTACTAGGAAATATGGAGAAAAAGAGGCCAATTGGCGTTGGATGATAGGAGCGAAGCTTGCAGCCAACAGGTCATGCATGAGATAAAGCGAGTGAACATGGAGTACGGAGTAGCTCATTAACCTGAAAGCTTGTGGGGGGGGGGAAGGGAAGATCTGCCTTGAATGCATATGCATACCCGTTGAAATCCTTCGGCTCTTTCGTCAACCGCGAGATGCCTAGCTGACTCCAGAATTTTACGGAGATATCATTGGCTGCAGTTTCTCTGATGCATCCTGAAGATCACTGCCATGCACCAGCAGATAGAGGGCATGAAAATTGCATTCACGTCCCGGTCCATTTGAGAAGGAAAATTCTCATTCCTCCTGTTCTTTCATCCCGACTCCCTGAACATTTTCGTCAATTCAAGGATGTCGATTGACGAGGCGGCGGAGCATGCCAAACTCAAATTTTTAAGAAGATGATTTGAAGAAGATGATCTCGAAATAGATTTGGGTCGAAGCTATTTATGAGTGTCAACAAACTCTCACTTCGTTGGTTTGCGACTATTGAAGTGGGAACTCTTGTCATCAACGGGTCCCTTCCACACTAGTAATAGGTGCAGAAATTAATCTTCCCACGCCTGTTGTCTCTCGGTCACTTTAGGGCTCTGTGATTGGATCTTTGTATGCAACGCCCAGCAGGCTTGACGTGCGAGATTGCTGGTGCGCTACGGGCGAGAGCACCAGATGAAGCGACGGACAGCTTCGTGAGTGGTGATCGACCAACTCGTCAGCAGAGGGAGCTAACTAACTGTTTAGCTAAATTAACTTGCCCTGAGCGTTATGTCGGCTTGACGCCACGTTGTCTAGCGTTTGACCAGGGCGGTCCACTGGGCTAACGGCGCAGGAGCGAGATTGACGCATCTCCGCCGGTTGCTGCGTGGTCCGACACGTGAATAATTTCTTCTTTTTGAATTTGGACGCCGTGCTCCAGATCCTTTCGGCGGCTACAGGTGAATACGCGCTGTGCGAGACCATCTAGCCGACTGGGGAGCGGGAGAATGGTGTTCCATCTGGAGTATCCCCTCGAGGGATGGAGGGAGGGAGACCTGGTGGCGATACAGTGATCGATTAGTTTAGCTTGTTGCACAGAGGGGACTCCTGAAGCGAAAACTCGCCTGGAAGAGAGGAGCGTGCATGAAGAATTTGCTGTACTCTGTAGACGACGCCGATTCAGGCAATGTTCCAGAAAGGCATGAGGCATGAATCTGTGTTGGAGCCTTTGCGCGCGGACGACTTTGGAACGATGCATGGTGGATCAGAAAAGAAAAGAAGCGACAAAAGAAAAAGAAAAAGAACGCCGGTGCAATGCTGCGTCGATCGTGTCCTTGCGTCGAAAGGGAGCCTCTCAGGTGACGTGCAATCGACATGCCGCGTCTCACTGATTTCACCTCTCCGTCCCTGGTGGTTACATCCCGAATGAACACCCTCAACGTCCGCTGTTCCCATCTCGACCTCCAGGGCAGCCTTCTTCCGACAACTGTGAAACACGACGCTGGCCTGGCCAATTTGCGTGCTGTAACAAAAGGCTCCTGTTAGTTACCCCTCCTCCACCGTTCTGCTGGGATGGGCTTGATCAATCGGTAGTGTTGCGAATCCGCGACAGCCCAGAGCGAGGCCAGCAAATCCACTTTGTTTCCGAAGTAACGAACCATGGTGCTCTTCATCTTCCCTGCCCCAGGCTTCTGTTATATGTTTCTAAAAGTACGTCCCTCACAACAGCTTTCCCCTCCTTGCGGTTCTATCCTGGAAGCAAGTCAGTCGCTAATTAAACCACAGCTCCAAGCCAGCTTGGCCCACACGCCCTGGTCCGGATAGTCTTAAGCTTAAGATTGGAACCCGTGGCTGAAGACCCTCAAGCTTCAGCCTGTCCCCGGGACCCGTAGTCCCCCGTCTCTGGAGGACGGTGGGTGTGACCTCCAGCCCGGCACAATGACGCTCTTTCTTCGCTCTGCTGTGCCCTCCAGATGCCAATTCAACCCGGATCCCGCGATCCTGGGAGGTAACTCATGATCTGCTCTTTGAATACCGTCTGGTCGCTTCATGCACGGTATCTCAAACCGCGACAGCTTAATTATTTTCTCTTCCGCTGCGCTGTGGAGCCTCAAATCTCTGCCCGAGTGAGAAATGGGCCTACCTGGGGGAGGGGGATCGTTATTTATTACATGCGTTAGGTCTGTTTCTCTGCTTGCACCCCCCCCCGTACTCGTTATGCCTTACGATTCGTCCGTTCAAGCCTTGATGTAGGATTGTCGCCTAGAACTTGATGGAATCCGCCGTCAGGTTTTAGCTGCAAAACTAACAGCAACGGCAGCATTTCGCCGGGCGAAACGGCGTTTCTCCCTCGTGGCTTCAACTAACCCAAGCATAGCTGTCACAGAAGCATTGACGGAAGCAATGACGGGGTCCTTCAAATTTGTCATCGACAGCATCAATTTTATTTTTTAATTTTATTGTGATGCAAGCGGGCGTGAGCAGTAAAATGAACCCTTATTACGTTCTCGTCCTTACCCAGCAATCGAGCACAACCTATCCGATCTGTCCTTGATCCTCATCCTAGCTGCATAATACTTCTATATTATACCCATTTACCATCTCCGCCACGGCTCCTCTGACCGAGCATATAATAATAACACAACTATGCACAGCTCGTGTTATTTTCCCTTGTCAACAACAACAATCCTCGATCTCTTCCCAGCAAATATACTCCAACTCCTGGAGCTCCTGACCAGATTGAATTCTTTTGTGCTGGTATGTCCACTTGACCATATTACCCCATATTATATATTTTTTTCCCACCCTGTCTCTCTGTGTCTTATTCTTCATTTTTTTTTTATTCGCTTTTTTATCTAATTCTGGTTCTGCAGGACTTGGGTCTCTGGGGGTAATTTTTTTCTCTACTAGTTCTTTGTTGGAGGGGAAGCTTCATTCTGTGGTTCATCCCACCGCAAAGTCGCATTGAGCAGCTCCTCTCGGCTCCGCCGTTGGATCCCGGCTCCAGGGTGAGCGGAACCGCTATCCAGGACTCATCGACACGAAGCTGAAGAACCCGCCGCATTGCGCCCAGGTGTGGGGAATCTGCAGCAGTCTTGAGACGGACGTCACGCGCGGGAAAAGTCCTTGGAATTTTTTTATTTTTCAAAAGGAAAGAAAGCTATAAACGTGCACGAACTTGCTTCCGATACATCCTTCCTTCACGGACTTTCTGGCGAATTATCCAGTAGCCTGCTAGAGCTGTCAAGCTCTAGCAGCGCTCGAATACCGCGACGCTGGCGGATCCGTATCGAGACTATCAGATTGACTATTCAACACACGAGCAGTCAAAGGCACAGGAGCAACAAAACCAGCTAGTATACGAGACGGGACAGCAGTCAACGCACGCGCTGCATCATGGGGGACGCCATGAGGTTGCGTATATCTCGAGTGGCCAGCATGCTCAATTCCAGCCCCAGCAGCCACATCATCAGCATCCACACCACCATCATCACCAGCCCTCGCCGCACCAGCATTCGCAACAGCAGTCGCAACCTCAGGCGCAGCAGCAGCAACAACAACCGCATGGGCAGCGGTCAGTGGTGATGGCGTCTCCCGGGCCCCATGGTGTCGTGCGTGAGCTCCAGCAGCCTGTCATGATCCCTCCGCAGATGGTACCACCCCAACTCCCGCCTCACTACAGTTCTACGCCTCTCCAGGTTCCGTACGCGTCAAAACGGCACGGAACTAAAAGGCAGCGGACAGACGACGGGCCGAGTGGCGAGAATGATGATACCGCCGCGGGACTTGGCCTGTCGATGCTTTCTGAGACCCAGCATGCTGACGATTCGCAGTCAGCCGACATTCTCCTACCTGGGCCAACTGAGCATTCGTCTCATCACCACCACCCCTCCGTCCAACACGAGTATCAATCTCCTCCGATACACCAGCGGCATCACCACCATCGGCTGCCTTCACAAGCAACCATTTCAGGAGCGCAGAGTGGCGACACAGATTTGACGTCCCCTGGTGGAGTTGCCGGCTCACAGAGCGTGGTGGGCCAACCAGGAATGCCCGATCCAGCTCCCCGCCCACGGGGGCCAAAATTAAAATTTACGCCTGAGGAGGACAGTCTGCTCGTTGAGCTGAAGGAGAACAAAAATTTGACTTGGAAGCAAATTGCCGACTTCTTCCCTGGTCGGACAAGCGGCACATTGCAAGTGCGTTACTGTACCAAGCTGAAAGCAAAGGCAACCGTTTGGACAGATGAAGCGGTATGACTTTGAACCGTCGACAATCGATTTGTGGTACCAAAATACAGTTTGGCTGATTTCCACCCCTTTTCTTTTACTTTTCTAGGTGCAACGGCTGCGTAACGCAATGCAGGACTACGAGAACGATCGTTGGCGTGTTATTGCCACAAAGGTCGGAAGTGGATTCTCCCCTGCAGCATGTCGTGAAAAGGCTACAGAATTGTAGGCGAACAAAATATCCCCGACAGCCTTATTCGTCGGCAACCCCAAATCGACGTCGTTCCACCCCCCTGTAGATGTGCGACTGATGTTGTACGCTTCTTTGTGACAACGTTAAAGGGCCGCGATCTAACAACGCAATCTCCATTTACCCCCTCCCGCGGGCACAACCACATCAACCGGCGACGTGCGAAAATCTTTCGTGTATATATTACCGATATACAGTACCTTCCGCTTTCCTCAACCCCTAGATTGCGTGGGCCGGTCCGGGGCGGATCTGGACTTCTGAGAGCAGAGATACGCAGCGGAAAACGTACTTGCATTTCGTTTTTTAATCTTGCGAATATTCGGGATATAGAACTGAGGAATAAACATTAATTCCACCGGGACAAGAAGATTCTGGAAGGCTAAATAGTGCCTAGAGGTCCTCATACAACCAACCCTAACAAGTGAACGTCTTATCTGCCGTCCAAAACTGCTGGAGGGTTAGATGTTGGCCACGTTCTGATCACAATACCTGCGCGTTCCCGCGCGGTACTCCTTCCTGGCCTAATTCCATTTGCTTCTGGACTGTTCACTATTCTTTTCTTTTTTCTGTCACTGTTCTTTCCTTTTGCATAGTTTTCCTTCTGCTGCCGGTGTATCTCGACATTTTGGTGGGCTGGTCGTCCTCAAGTTTTCCCTTTTTTACATATGATACCCATTTACGCATTTTCCACTTCCATTCCCCATGCTCCCTTTTTACTATCTTTGTACTCAGCCTGTTCATGTCTTATGCCTCATGCATCCTATATCCCTCTTCAACGTACTGAAAATGCCTGGTTCTTGCCCTGCTCTCAGCATTCATTACCCTCTCTTTCTTTCAAAATGTACCATTTGCTCAATTCTCAACCTCCCCTCTTCGTTTCGGTTGTCGAATTGGGCATCCGTTTCATCAAATTTCCAAGACTGCGACGGAAAGGCGCGGCACGGTATCCTGCCTTGCCAATTCAGATGACATCAGCCCCCCTAGCGCCTCCTTGATGCCCTGTGAATTTAGTATCCCTGTGGCATGGTGTTTCACTGTTTGCTTTTGGCAACGTTCCGGGTGTGGAGTACAATGGGAACAAGCAGGCAGCACCGTGTCGAGGAAATTCGCATGCTAGGTCCATCAAAACCTATGTACATACGTATATACTATGAAATGCATGTAATACCTGTGAGGTGTAATGTTTAAGCAAAAGTCATGTTTCACTTTGTTGTAAGATGATGGGATTTTGCTCTTTTGCAAGTTCACTTTTTGAAATCTATCTTTTCCCGTTATAGGGGGTTATTTCCTGGTCTATCCGCCCGTTTGCCTGTGAATTTACACGCATAAATATTGGAATGCACTCTTTATGGCTTTTAGGATAGGTACATGGTTCGGTTCCCATGAACGCGTTACACGGGTGGATACAAGGTATGTCAAAGGCATGCGAGCACCCTTAATCTACATTGATACGAAGATAGAATTCGGAAAATGGATAATTGTCTTGTTTCCGCGCGCCGAATACAGTTGGGAAGTATAGCCTAGGCAGCTCTAATTCGGCACGCATGTGGTGGTATCAGCACAAAGACAAGAACATGGAATGCCGTCAACAAACCCTCCAATCTAGGGTTAACCCTAACATACCCGATTGGGACACTCTCTGCGTACTTGGTAGGTTCCGCCTTCAAGTCTTCAGACGATGTTGACCGTGGACGTCTCTTGCAAATGGGGATGGGAAGCTGTTCAGGCTGATCAGGCCCTCGATATCAGCCACTTCCCCTATTTCCTTGGCAAATCTTGCTGGTTATCCCGGTTCTTGGTGTGGCGGTGCTGCCCCAGCTATCCATGCACCAGGCTTGCCGGATTTATATTCGGGAACGGTACGAGGAAGATGGGATGGTCCCTTTAAGCCTGGAACTGCTTAAGAGTCCCAATCATCTATGTTGAAGAAAGACCAACCTTCTTCATTCGAGGCAAGGTTTAAACGCTCGCCCCAGATTCAAAGTGAAATGGCAGCCATTTAGGGAAAAGAAGATTATGCTCTGCGTCCATGTTTCCAAGCCGAACCTTCAAGTACAATGGCAAAACCGCAACGAGTCTGCCGAATGCAGACCCACTCCGCCGACCAAGAGACAAAGCTCCATGCCACAATAAGCGCTCGGAAGCTTGATAGATGTCGAAGGTCCTGTTGATTACGCCATCTCGAACCCAAGGGCACACCTCAACTAGCTATGGCCAATGGCAAGATGGAGTGCAAGAGAGGAACAAAAATTGACAAAATACTTGCAAGGGTCAACTGGATAGATGACCTAGACTCAGTTACAGTTGCAAAACTGAGGGGTACATTGGCTGGAAGATTTTCAATTGAGAAGCTCCCAGTTGCTATGTGGGATTGGCAGGAATGGAGCAAGAAACACCCTAAAATTGGTGGTATTGAATATGATGCGCAGAGCTCCCGCATCCAAATCAAAGCTATGCCTAGTCCTTTGCAGGAGGATTTATCAATCAGTATCCATGACTGCCTAATTGATTATGAATCAAAAGAGCATCTGATAAAGCTCTAGAGAGACTGGAGGAGGTAGGAAAGATACACAGTCAAAAGAAAATCAAGGTGTGATATGTGTAATTCACACATTCTCCAACAACCACATTGATGCTTGAGATGCTCCAGTTCTGTCTTCTATTTGCTGATTTTCTTTTCGCCCGCGAGCGACAGACCGAACAACCAGTGGGGAAGAAAGAGCAGGTGAACAGGTCTGGTTTGGATTGAATGCCTTTTCATTCACTCTTATTTCTTGCTTCCACCAATCCTGTATGTAATCATACCATGGCCGTGCCTGATTCCATCCTCTATTTGGTACTTCTCAATCTTTTACTGCCATTTTCTTTCTTATATTGATTTGAGGCTTCTTGTCAATTCTTTGAAATTTCTCAAACCCTCTCTGAGCTGCGGTGGAAGCCATCCACGCTGACGATGGTATTTCAGCTGGTGCCTTGTTTCTTCAAAGAAGGTGGTCTCCTAGGCCTTGTCATCTTATTGTGCATTTGCTGCATATTTTCCCACCATGGTGTAGAGTACGGTATGCGCTGGGAAATAAGATCATAAGAAATTCAATTACACAGAAAAGAAAGTATAGAGATTCATGATTCTTCTAGGTACCTATTTCACATACTTGTCTGTGAATGTTCCAGTATCAACACGGTTGGATGGGAGGGCCAGCCAATGATATTTCGGCTATAGTCCAGTGCTGACTAAGGCCAACCTCACCACTCGGACTGATTCGGTCCCAAGCGTCAAACGAGCAAGACTTCCCACTTCACACGTTAACGGGAACCTTTTGATCCATCTCCCCCAACCCACCACCGCAAATCCCACCTCAACAGCGTGCCATTGGGCCACCGAGGAACGTCGAAGATGTTTGTCCAGCGAACTGCTTTCGCCCTTGCGAGGCGTGCTCCCGTGAAAGCCTTGTCGCGACGCTCTTTTACATCGTCAATTGTTCGCAGTACGTTGAAACCTGAAACCTACAAAGAGCGTGGTCATTGGCTTCGAGTGCTTCTCAAATAAAGAAATAAAGAGATGTTCTGCCTTCTAAACGATCAACCACGGAGATTTGAAAAGAATGGCGCTTCTTGAAGCTACAATTGCTGCAAATCTTGCTGACTTGGGAAATGACCATAGGTTCGAAATACGATGTCAAGCCAGACCAGCCCCAGGGCAAAGTCATCCCATTTGAGGGTCAGTGTTAAATTGCTTTTCTGCAAGATATACCGCCAGCGCGACCGGTTTCCCGTATAATTCGACTTTTCCCTTCACACATCTCCGAAATGAAGGGTTGGAGATATAGACTAATTCTTTTGGTTTTCGTGTCAACAGAAGTCAAATCTGAGACCGATCTTTTCGGCCCTGGTGCCGCTCCAGGCACCATCCCCACGGATATTGAACAAGCCACCGGTTTGGAGCGATTGGAACTTTTGGGAAAGATGAAGGGCATTGATATTTTCAATATGCAGCCATTGGATGCCTCAAGACTAGGTTCGTGACAGCCTTTGAATCTCAGGTGGATTATGGTACCGGCTCAGCCGTTGGGCGAGGATACGGGTTGTGTGGAAGGCGGGCGGACGGCTAAACAGGTTGATTTATCTTACAGGAACTCTCGACAACCCCATTATGGTCAAGTCTGGTGGTCCTGAACAATATGTTGGCTGCACGGGTTATCCAGCTGACTCCCATACCGTCATTTGGCTTACGGTATGCATCTCTCGGATCATTTACGGTCCCATTTTGCACCAGGCTGATTTGCATTATTCTAGGTCTCGCGTGACCGGCCGGTCGAGCGATGCTCCGAATGTGGCAATTGCGTCAAGATGGACTATATCGGCCCCAAGGAGGACGATCGTACGTAACCTTACCGACGCAACTGCCCTTGGAATTGATATTTTTTTCTTTGGCTTTACTGACCCTGCTCGTTTCACAGACCACCACCACTCTGAGGTTTACGAGCCAAAGACGATGGCTGACTATGTGAAACCTGAATATTGGTATAAATAAATCAGATGCGAAGAGAAAGACGGGCTTGACATGTGCAGTGTCTTAAGTCTATGTTACCTTTTCATTCCTGTTCAAAGTTTTTTGGCCTCCCACCTATCATAACATCTTTTCTTCAGTTGTTCGCACGTGTAGAATAATTGAATCATCTGTCAAAACACTGCTTGCATTTCGTCCATGCTGAGGCATTGGTGTAATCATACTTTTGTGGTGTTGTGGAGAGCATGTTGACTCTTCTTTCTGCAGGAAAAGATGAAGTACATCTCATGTCAGATCATTGATATTAAACATCATGGAGATCAACAAGATTGCTTCCATATTAAGAAGTGTCCCTTGGAATACGTGGCGCATGGTCACTTTTACATACACTTTCTAACTGATGGGACCTTGCAACTGCTGGAAGTAAAAGCAGCACTAAGAAATACAATTGACCCAAGTATACAAGTACGCTTTTACCAACCCGACCAACATATGTACCGATACATGTTTCTACGCCACTACTTTTGAGGTACAGAAGCTATCTTACTCTAGGTACGGAATAGGTACATCATGATACATCTGTTCTTGATTCAACCGGGGTTCCTTCTAGCCCGAGTACCTTCTTTTTCCTGGCAAAAATACCTACAAACATCAATAATTGGACGCACCCGTCCCAAGCTGCTGGATCAACTTAATTGTCGCCCAGCCCAGAATCCAGCGAGTGGCTACTAGGGATTGGTTTTTTGCCCTGAAAGGTTGCATGCCACCCCCTGGTCCAGGAACAAATATAAATAAAAACAGGGCATACGTGAAATAACTAGGATGAGGATGGGAGTCCAAGCGCCAAAACAAAAAATAAAAAGGGAATCATACCTGTGACTCGATCGGCAAAGCGAGCAAGGGGCTGTTTCTTGATGATCTAACACATGGTGACATTTGTCGTCCATTTTGCAAGGTTACAACGTGTATCAGGGGGACCGTCCTCCATCCACCAAGGTCCAGCCACGCGCTCCAGTCCATTGATCTCGGGCTTTTGCGAGCGGGTGGTAGCTTGTCCGGCTAAAGCTACCGTACAAAGCGGGTGAAGAAACATCTGTGTCACCAGAAATACACATGAGCCGTTGTTCTCGTAACGACAATAATGATGAAGCCTCATCTTTATTGTGATACTGGTAGAATTTCATACGCATCCAGCAGCCTGGAGAGCAGAGGTTAATAACTAATGGATATTTAGGCTGTCTGAACCTTATGCAGCTCTTTTTCGGCCAGAGCGCGTCAGAAATTTCCATATGCCTACCATGTGAAGATATCAGCCATACATCAAGCCAAGAGAATGTTTTGCAGACCTGATATATGGCAACAACGTGCCTATACTATGTAAAGGCAAGAACCTTGATTGCTAACAAAACAAACAATTAAGGTTTTATTTTCCGTTTCCAGATAGATGCCATAAAACTTTTCTGACCGAGATTCAAATCCGTTAAGTTGACATACCTAAACTTGACACAAACGTCTTACGGTCGCCTAGCTGCAAGATAAACTGTTGAGTTAGTAGCATGTATGATCTCAACGCAAGGAAGTTGTCAATCCAGCAAAACTAAGCAGTATGCACTCCGCTATTCTCCGGGCGCAGATGTTGCGAGTAATTAGATCATCGCTATATTCTGTCATGAGACGCCTTGCACGTTTCATAGCTGCAGGTGGACACCAATCGGACCAGTAGGTCTAAAGCTTGGGTGTAGATCAGTATCCCCACAACTTCTGCAACGCTGATGAACTTTTGGCCAAACATAGTCACGATATGATCGGCAGCTGCACAACCCACCTAGAAGGGAAGTTGGAGCACCAGAAGACCCTTACACCCGTGAGATAATGCAGATCCTAGACTTTCGAATAGGGGTGCCATACGTGGCACTGACGATATCTAAATTTGGGTCACAACTGGGCGCAATGCATCCAAACATGGAGCATGGTCACGAATGAGGAAAATCGGTTTTAACAACCCCGGCAAAAGAAATGCTCATACTGGAAGGTTCTGCACCGGTTTCGGCGCCGAAAACAACCAGGGAGTCATCGCTTTCCGCCCGAATCCTCCCGATTTGATAAGGTCATAAAGAAAAGAAACTTCCAAGCTGTCACGACCTTTGGTAGATTGCCGTATGGTTCAGTCAACTTAATTCACCGAACCGCACGGACGTTGACCATTGGACAGGTTGGGGTGGTCTGTGATAACGTGGGATTCCATACATCGGCTTGGGTCATGTGTGGCCACGCCTCGGAATAGGTAAATGCCACTCTCACGTACTATTGGAAGCGAACAGTGGTGTCTTCTGGGCCACTGGTATCACAAAAGGTATAAAAGACTCCGCGTACACAGAGGGACTGACAATAGAGGAAAATGCTTCTCGATAGGCCAGCGCGTTGGAAATGACGATCCTGGGTTCCAATTGATCGTGACATGAAATGAGAGCCTAGAGGCCATTCCAAACACGATCGTCAGAAACATCGTGTGACTCGCAAAGATGATCTATTGTAGATGATGCCTATGAGGGTGAATCAGGGCCGGTATCCTTGCGGTATATTTTCCACCTGCCAGATTCCAGATCGTCATTCAGATGATTTCGGAGATAGCGCCTAGCTGCTTCTTTTTTAAAGTTTCGGAGCGGAGGAAAGCCAAGGAGCCATCCACGAGGTACCTGGAAGATACCCTGTATCCAGGTAAGCTGCGGAGATACCGTTTGAAGAAATGGTCAATGGAAGCCTAATGTAAAGCTACACGGCCTGTTTGTATCCTTATAGCTTTGGTACGTTGGGCCGTTCAGGTATCTGAGCCTTGCTGCTTCGGCATCCTGACTGCCTTCAAAGCATTGGCGCGCAAGCCTCAGGACCTAGACCCTGTATCAAAATAGTAGTAAACTGGTAGGTCACAAAACCGTTGGGTCCCCAGAAATGTCCCAACATATTGTTAGAGGGCTCTCAATTTAGAGGAGCACCTGAGAAATTGAAAGAGCAACCAAAAGTAACAATCGTATCTAGACCTTGAGTCCTCGATTCTGACAAGTCTCGAGAGTTGCTGCTTCTGCAAATGTACATAGTTCGAAGTCGGGCACGAGTCGGAAAAGATAACACGGCGAGATCAACTAGCTTCTTTCCGAATGTCAACGGTCAAGGCGAGAACGTGAAACGGAGATGCCGCAGAGTAATCACATATATTAGCAAATTGCATGTATGCCAGTAGCGTATAACAATACAAAAGTGGAAACCCAAGAGCTCACTTCTCGACCTCTCCTAGCCAGGCGATCCTGTAGTTACTTTGGTAGCGCTTTAAGCTGACAGGCTGCCTTGGTGGTCCCAAGGAAGGTGTCGTACAGTACAACCACTTGCCAGTAGGATCATGAGGGAAAACATCGGAAAAAGAAGACATGACACAATGACAAACGCTTCGCCAGGAAATGCCCAGTGAAAAGCTCCGAGTTGATGTGGTAGAAACAGGAGCGAGGTTGCTCGGAAGGGTGAGGGTGTAGTTGGGAGGTATCAGGTACCTGCTGAAGGCTGAGGTGCAAATTAGCTCAGTTTGCTGGCTGGCGAGGTAGGGGCTAGCCCCGTTGCGGATGAACTCGACTCCACCTCGTCCCCGCTGGCATCAGATAGAGAGCGTCGGTTGGCACATCCCGAGCTTGGAACCGCGGTTCCTGCTGAAGATTGTGCCTGGCAATTCTTCATGTATAACTAATCAGTTTTTCCAAATGTGATACAGCACAGCGTTACTACAAACTGTGGCAAAGACCGTTCCGAAGCAATACCTATCCCTCGATAGATATTTAACTGGCTTCGAGGGTCCCCGAGTTTGGCACATGTGATACTGACGGTCTACTATCGCGTTCGCACAGATGAAAGATACTTGCCGCTTGCCAATCATGACATTATTGCCTTAGACCACCCGAAGCTAAGAAATATAATCACTAGAGAGCTAACCACATAAGAGACACGCGAAAAATAAAGGGCAAAAATCGTTTGTCGTAAACCGTAAAGCACTTGCGTGAAGAAAAATCCCGTTCCCGATACCCAACTTTCCCGCTTTGAAAGAAGAAATCAGGGCAAAAACCTCGAAGGGGGAACCACAAACAAGACATAACAATACCAATATATCGCAGTGTGACGTTGCCAGAACTAGATCTCCACCGTGGTATCTCGGCATAGCATAGCGTCAATGAGATTGGGAAAAGTGCCCAGCCATACTCCTAAGAACCTTCCCTGTTGCTCCTCCACGATATTGGCAAAACACAAGCACCATTAATTACTGAAGCAAGGGAAAAAAAAAGAGAGAAGAAAAAGGGGGAAAAATTTGGGAATCGTGATATCAAACATGAAGGATTGGAATCGCCCGAGTCGACGCATCAAACATGGCCAGGAACCTTCGTCGGCTTGTTGTGCACTTTACATGTTCTTGAAGTGCTCTTTCGCGTACTGCTCGCAGGCCTGAAATGTGTGTTATTATCATGTCGACGGATCCAAAAGTTTTGACATGTGTTTCGAAGGAGATGGTACCTTTGCCGGTTTTCCAATTTTTTGGCCGATAACCTTCCATTTATTTGATTCGTATTCTTTGATGGCTTCCCTCAAGGCGGCCGACTGTGCGATGGTCAATGCCATAAGCTCCATAGGCATGTGAGCGACGTGACTCACCTCATCTTCCGCGAATTCAGCGTAATGCATATCCTGTGCGGAATTAGACCCCAAACTTGTCGCAAAGCGGGTGCTTCGGCGCTAATAGTTACCTTGTACCAGTGCTTCTTGACACTGCCCTCGGTTCTTGTCGGGAAAGTCTGGGGAAGAGGGTTATCAGATGCCAAAGCTCATGGAATGAGGGTAGAGCAAAGGTGTGGGACAAACCTTGGCAATTTCGCTCCAAGTGTTACCGGCATCTCGCATTGCCTTGAGTCTTTGTTCTTCTTCTGCAGTCCATGGGGTGTTGGTTCGACCTTTCTTTTTGCCTCCTGCCTCTGGTGCTGTGGCAGCGGTTGGTGGGTTCCCTTCACCTTCAACAGGGGCAGTTAGCTGTGGAGGCGCCATGGTTGACATGGGCGCAGCTTGTTGGAATGACGCACGTCTTTTCCGGGGATTTACAGTAGGCAGAGTTCCTGGTTGTTGCAGGGCAGCAGCTGGTGGTGGTGGTGGTGCCTGCGTGGGTGGAGGAGCCGGCACCATGGGAGGCGCTTCAAATTGGCCAGGACCTGGGAAAGGAGGTCCTGCCTGGCTTAAAGGGTGCGTAGGGGGAGGGTTGGCGGGGACAGTGGTTTTGATCCTTTTGGAGGTAGGGGGTGAGCTGTGAGTGTGTCAAAACAAGAGAAGTCAGATATCAGTCAAGTGTTTTAAAGTGAAGGTTCTTATCAAGAAACACAATGGCGGCAGCGTGGCAGTTGAGACGAAACTCGGCTCGGGAGATCAACACAAGCGGATATAGTTACTGAGCGCAAGTTTAAGTGAACAGAACGTGAAAGGAAAAAAAAGTACATGGTGATCAGCAAATGGGAGAATATGCGTTGTGTGGGGGCAGCATGACATTTTGAGGAAACAAGATACTTACGACATGGCGGGAAGCGGGGATCGCGATGCAAAGACCGGCCAATTCATCTGTAGAGATACGAAAAGAAAAAGGTTAGCCAGGGATGAGCTGGTATCGGGGTGGGTAATATGTAAAAGTGAAGTTCCATGGCGAGAGAAAAGGCGTGACACACTAGGAATGGGAGAGGATGACGGCAAGCTTGACCACCACGATCAAGCTGGCCGAAAAGACGATTTAACGGAAAAGAGGGAGAAACGAGTGACGCGAGGGTACAAAAGTCAACGTGAGGGAGAGAGGGTTTGGGGGTGGGAGAGAGGTACGATTGGTAAATAGACGGCTGGGATGTATAGTGGACTTAGGAGGGCGTAGACCGGAGTCGAGGATACACAAGGAGTCGAAAGACAGTCACTGAAGGTACCGGGTCTCGGCAGGCGATGTCAGCTGGTTTCCCAGGTTGTAGCTGAGAGGTACCGCTGGGGACATGAAGTGAGGCACAAGTAAATGATACAGACGCAGGTAGCAGGAAAAGAATAACGGGCGGAAGAGAGGAGAGAGAGGGAGGCAGAGAGGTATATGGATGGGCTGGAGCAGCTCTGCGATGGACTTGGATGTTTGACGGCAGCTCAAAGGTCGAGGGGGGGAAGCGAAGACGGTGCTTGAATTGCGGGGAAAGCCCACCGTAACTGGACTAGTAACGAACTCTGGGCAAAGTTACGGGATTGCACGGTACCGAAACATCAGGCCTTGCACAACCCAACGCAACAGCAGCAACAGCAGCATTGAAGCACCGCCGTTCTGTCCGTCACGTCGTGCTGGATCAACCGCATCTGCCCAGTCTGTAGTTATGTTGTGACCAGAACACCAGGAATTTGTTTTTGTGTTCTGCAACAAGCACATTCCATAGTTACATGTCGAATACCCTGCCACTCCGGTAACTACTCGTTAGTTAGCGCCGCCAGGACAGAAACATCCAAACCTTGAGCCGACATATGGAGCAACGATCTGCTCTTGAACCCTGCGCCTGTTTCTGCAAACATGCCGATGCACAGTCATGTTGCAGCACAGACACGGCGGATGACATCCACGACCTCTTGAATAACTACATGAGTAGTGATAGGACTAATGTCTTGCATGCTCAAGTGTGCCGTCGTCATCTTGCGGCTCACACTACTCTGGCCTTGCTCGGGTTTTCAGTGCCAAAACGACCCCCCGTCATTTGAACTGGCCCCCCCGAGCATCTCGCCGTTTAGCTGTGCACAGACTCGAGCTGGAGTCACTTCCCTGGCGGATGGCTTGGCACTGCATCATTTATTTTGAGGCCCAGGGTCCTGCTCCTCAACATCATCACACCCCAAGCTCTCTCGCAGCATCGAGAGATAAATGGCAAAACCCGATAATAATGATTTCGGTAAGCCTAAATCTCATCCAATTCGCATCTCCTCGGAAAGGGGAGTCCACAAAAATCTTTCCCATCTCCAGGGTACGAGACCGCACTGTGCAAAAGTCCACTGGTCCGAAGTGATCCTTGCAGTCGCCAATAGCCTTGTCCGATGCTCTCCCACAGCCCGCGCCACTATCCAACAGGCGTCAACACTTGCCCTGCAAGCCGCTAGGAACTGGTGGAAAATCGAAATATTGTTGTTAATTTCTGACAATTGTCCCCTAATGGACCGAATAATGAAAAAGGAATACAAAACAAAAAGAAAAAGAAGGACAAAAGGAAAAGAAAAATCGTTAGTAAGACACGATACAGCCTAGAATAAACGGGTGCATTCACCCCGGATTCTCCTGGATTCCCAGGTCCATCGTGGTTTTTGCTATAACAGACGGCTAGTGGCAAAACCATGTTACAGCCTGATGAATAGGAAAGGAAGTAGCATGTCCGCATGCGAAAGCTCTCACCCTGGTCTTGCAATAATGTCCCGCTCGCCAGGGGCAGAACGTAAATAGAATACCGTTTGATTCTTGCGAATTCTAGCGGGGTTAGACAGCGCTCACTATTCTGAATCTGATAAGAGCAGTCAATTTGAGTCACTTCAATTTTTCATACTGTAACGGACGCATTCGGAGGTAAGGGCTTGCGCCCCATTCGAGGGACTCGCAGGTAGGGGAGATAAAAGATTCCGATTTACCCTAACTCGAGCAGTAGATATCGTCCGGAGAATCTGGAGGCACCCAAGAACGCCCACAACTCCCTTCGATTTCCTAGGGTATCGCAAGCTTCACAAATTTCCTCGACAGTTATTTCCAAACGGCAACGTTTGCTTCCCAGTCCACCCGCAGACTTGGGACCAAAAACCCAAGCTCCTTGCAGACACGTTACATAAGTAAATTTCGCCTTCATTGGGTCATGGGCGGGGGAGCTGGTTCGCTGTGAGGTTCGTCATGGCCGACAAACCCACCAATCGGTTCGGCTTTGAGTATCAAGAGAGCAGCATAGCAAGGCCCCTAGTAATTAAACTGAGCAAGTCAAGTTGCAGCGAGAGTCGTTGCGACCAAACTTGCGGAGCTTCCCAGCGCCGAGACGGTGCAGTCTGTACACGGCAAGTGTTTGAAACCCCTCTGGTCGCGGATGTCCTCTTTGGGAGTCTCTTTGGCAATATGTCAATTCAATCGGGGCATAGGCTCTCCTCGACTAAGCCTCAGCACGGCAGGTTGATACACCGTCGACGGAGAGGGAGATCAAACAATTCCATGATTTGAAACTGGAATTTGAATCATGATTTCCATCCCGCCTTTGCCTTTTGAAGCAGGGCTGCCTCAACTCAGTACAAAGGAGGCAATTTATGTTTTGCCTTCAAATCGGCCTTTTTGCAGTTTGCCTCTTTCGGGAGCCCGCCAATACGAGCCGTGTGGATGGGATAAGGTTGCCTGCAGGCCAGGTACCAAGTCCAGATCACTCCATGTTTCGGCCTGACGCACGCTTGGGTTCCACGCGAGGCTCTTATTTTAGAAGAGAACTAGGAGATTTTCCTCTCCTGAACCTCTCTGAAGGAAAAGGTACCCTAGTTCGAGAAAATGTCAGCGTGTTCCCCTGCATCTGGGAGGTGTTAACCCTGAGCACAGGCGGACAGTTTTCGGACTCGTCCGCGACCCTGGCACCCCATCCATGCGGCCCTAGCTCATGGTATCACTTCAGCAAAGGCCAAAGCACCCCAGGCTTCAGGACTCTGTCTCAGACCACCAAATCGGGAACGCGAGAGGAATCGTGCTACACGTTGGGGCTAGCACCGGTGAATCCTACCAAACATCATGGGTCGCAACACACAACTCGCCCTCGCTCCGAAAAGGACTGTGAAACT